CCCCTAAGGACTCTGCCTGGGGCCTCTGGCAATGGCAAGGATGCACCAAGGTGCCAATTTGCTTCTTGTCCTAGCTCTGGAAGGGGGCGGGGGCTTGATACAGCCCACTAGAACAGGTGAGCGCTGTTTACCTAGCTCTCCTGGCTACTGAGGCCATCACCAGATCTGCTGAGGTTTGAGTCCGTACTACCTATCCCATCACTGTGTGGGTGCAGGACCTTGTAAAGTGACCCACGAGCTCAGCAGTGCAGGTGGCTGCTCTGATGAAGTGGAGTGTGTATCTCCAACAGAGCAGCAAACAGGCGATGAGCCTCTGGGCCAAGAACTGCAGCAGCTCCTGGGCCTGGCGACCAACCATGATGCAGACACCGAGGTCCCCACTCCCCTTCCCATGCCTGGGCCTCTTGTGAAACAGGGGCGAGCCCCTGTGCCTGAGGACACCTGGTACACTGATGGCTCTTGCCAGGGCCAGCCACCCACCTGGAGGGTGGTGGCCTATCAGCCCAGCATGACAGCATAGGGATGGAACATGGCTCAGGACAAGCAGCCAACGGGCTGAGTTAAGCGCCATCTGGATGGTCACAACCTGAGAACCAGGGCCTGTGGTGAATGACCCAGCGAACCGGGCAGGGTACAGAGGAGTAACCTTGCGGTTGACCTGTTGGCAACAAGGCGACTGGCAGATGGCTCAGCGACGCTTGTGGGGACAGGACCTATGGAAGGGCATTTATGAACATAGCCTGGAAAAGGTAATAACTCTTTACCACGTCAAAGGACACCAACCTCTCCGCAGCCCTGGCGAGGCCGAGGCCGATGACCTGGCATGCCCCCGCTGGCCAGAAGAGGCTCCAGCAGAAGACATGGCCGAATGGCTCACACAGGGATGTGTCATGCGGGGCCGAAGACTTTATGGGAATTGGTAAAGGCTTGGGGCCTACCGCTCCGTTACTCCAACATTGTCACAGCCTGTGAGCGGTGCACTGTCTGTGGAGAAAAGCACCCTTGCCGGCTGCCCCAAGATATGGGTGGCCTGCAACAAAGGACTCCCTGGTGACCCACTGGCTGGTCAACCTCATTGGCCCCCTTCCGCTAACCGAAGGCTCACGCTGTGCCCTGACATGCATGGATACAGCTACAGGCCTGCTGCAAGCAGACCCAGGCCAGCGGGCCAACCGCGAGCCACCATCTGAGGCCCGAAACTGCTCTGGGCTGCCTGTGGGACCCCGGACATCATCAAAGGCAACCAAGGCTCCCGTTTTATAGGACATTAAGTACAAGACTGGGCAGATGCCCCAATAAGATTGGAGGTTCCATCTGCTGTACTACCCGGCCGGGGCCAACCTCATCAAGAGCTGTAACAGCTTTTTCCAAGATGCTCTGAAGACTGACTGTTGCTCATTCTGGGGTGGACAGCCCGTTTTTCCGACTATGAGCTTTGAACAAGTGGCCTTGGGTAGAACAAGCATCTCCCGTCAACCATCTCATTAGACCTTGGGCAGCTCCTACCTGCCTACAACTAAGCACCCAGGCGCCTCTACTGCCCCCTGGACTGGGACGACAGAATAACATGCTCTTGCCAGCACCCCAAGACATACCCCCAGGGAAAAGCACCTTCACCTGGCCCAGGCAGGCTCAGGTTGACTCCTGCTGGTGTTCTTTGGTGGCTCCTCAAGGAGAAAGACCAGTAATGAGGTTACAGTTCGCACCCATGGTAATGGCCTTTTGGCCCCTTACCCTGGTTTGTTATAAGCCACAGCAGACCTCAGTTCCTAAGGGAACTTACAAAGCCTCAGTTTGGCAGGTATGCGCACTTTCTTTGGTCCTGCCAGTACAAGAGGTCCTACAAGTATCTGAGCCCAGGGCCAGATCGGGCATGGCACCAACCGCCAGGGCACCCCCAGTGTGTGCGACAATATCAACCGAAGACCAGACTGTTGCCTGTGTACTGCCAGGCCGCCAAGATCTGCCTCTACTAGTCCCTGTTAGACATCGCTCTCACCCGCCTTAGGCTCTCCTCGGAAACGCCGTTCTGCAGTGGGCTGGTGTGCCAGCAGCCGGCAGCAACCACTCCAATTGCTGGGTCTGCACCGAGTTTCCCCGCTGCTTCCCACGCCGGCCTACCATGGTGGACCCACCCAGCGAACCAGACACGCCAAGGCTGGGAAGCTCCCGACCCCTTGTCCAAGCAGACGTATGAAAGGCATTATCCCTTGTGAGAGAACAGGCTACCCGCACCAAGCCATGGCTCACGTCCGTGATTTGGGATGGTGTGGGGTGGCTGTTGGCACTATAAGTAGAAGCGCAACAGCCTGTGCCTGTATGTATTGAACACGGAAATGGCACAATAAATGAGACTGTTCAGCTCGTGGGGTGGACGGGGGCAGCCCTATGCAGGAAGATTGTGGTAATGACTGCTACGGACCACTGGGGGCAGTCCACTGGTGGGACGCAGGCCCATGGCAGCCCGCGAGGAACTCTGTGGGCCTGGGGCCAATATGGTTGGTCTTTACCTCCCGTATAATTAGACTGGGCTTGGCACCTAGGAAGGACCATACATCCCAGAGCGAGTATTAAATCTCTTCCAGGTGCCCCTCGGAATTGGGACTCATTTCAGGCACGCTATCGAGTTGAGCGCTCTGACTGGTGGTTCCACCCCCCGGCCCTTTCTGGGCCCTGGCAATGCACCACTCTAACCCTTGAAGACATTTGAGGCCCTAGCAAGTCACACTGCGATACCCTTAATCACACCAAGGCCGCTGTTGTGATGGGTTATGACAAGGTCCCTCGAATGAGCAGAACTGTGCTGCACAGCAGCACGGCATCAGCCTTCCTCACCACTGCCGGGCACACCTGGTCCCTTCTGCACACCGAGTGCTGTGTGTATATTCCTGATAATGCCCACAGCGTAGCCCAAGCATGAAATGCCGTAGGAGGCAAAATGCATCGCGTATCGGCCCTAGCTTCTGGCGCCTTTACGACTTGGCGGAATTCTTTAGGTTGTCGGTGGTGTTCCCTCCTCCGAGGTCTCCTTGGCTTCTGTCTTGCACTTTGAGTCTTGCAGTGCAGCCTTTATTGTGCCTGTGGTATGTGGATGCAATGGGCCAACATGCTCACCACACGGGCCCCCTACCAGAAGCAGTAACACAAAGAATGGGAGGTGGAAGAGCCATGCTGGGGTGGGGTGGAGGCTGGAGGCTGGACATGGCTCTCCCACAACCCGGGATGAGGACTGGCCAGAGAGCCCCGGCCAGAACGGATGAGTATTGTCCTGAGCAAAAGGCTTGAAACTCCCTCCCTATCCACCCCCGCCCCCAGCATTGGTTTCTTGCCTGGTGACTGCTTCTTGACCTTTTCTTTTTCTGTGGCACATGGATGTAACATAGCCTAAGGCCACGGGGAAGCTCACGCAGCTTGTCCATGCCACCTTTGCCTGGGATGCTTTATACTGCGTCTCAGACTCGGGGGAAGCACAGCCCAGCTTTTCTGACCTGCTGCCGTTGGTGATCCCTGTAACATGGGTACTAAAGACTATGTCTGCTCCATGAGGTCCTCCTTGTGGTTTTAGCGGAGATCAGGGGCTTGACCTCCCCTGTTACACATCATAACCTGAGGGCCTGGCCAGGCAATGAAAGAAAGCATTTGCCACATGACTGACAAAGCATTACTGTCGCATATTACAGCGGGCTTGGGGCGTGCTGCAGAGAGCACGGCGCTCCCTGAAACCTGAGGGAAGCTGACTGGGGCCAGCCAAGGTGGGAGCAGGGCTCTGAATCCCGCAGAGCCCGTCCCGGGGTTGTCACGGATGAGGGGGAATAAACACAAAACGTTGCAAACACTTCTCTGTTTGCTGGGAGAGCAGACGGGGTACTTTCCTACTAGAGAAGGCCGTGGCGCATCCCCCTAGTGGGGAAGGCCCCGTTGTCCTTTGTTCCAAGGCTTTTATTGAAAAACTTATCAGTGGGCTAGGCAACAGGAATGCATGCGTAACCTCGTTACATTAGCATGTTAAGTTTCACAGAGGAGATGCCTTTAAGAAAACAAGTGACAGGAATTCACTGATTTACATGGGTCCAAGAGGAGACCAGTCTAAACAAAAGAGAATGAAGACAAGGGCAAGCGCCTTAATGATAAAGGGTAAGTGGAGCAAATAATGTGGAGGTCCTTTGCAGCATGAGCTGGCCAGAGATCCGAGGGAGGAACAGAGCCCACTCTGAAGAACTAACCTTTAGGCCTGATTACCCCAGGACACACCAGATCTGATTTAGGGGTGTTTTTCCTGCGCTGTTTCAAGCCTGAGCCAGGCGGGAGAAGGGAACCACCAAGAGATAAGGAGACCGCTTCTGGGCTGCAGTGAGGACTCCGGCCGTGTCCAAGCCAAGCCCAGAGGTGTGGGGGCCTTTTTGCCCCTCCTCCGAGTCCCACAATTTCTTATCTGCTGCCTTTAATGGCCATGGCCTGTCTCAGATTTCCCCTCCTCCAAGGGGTCTTACCTGTCATTGGCAGGGACCATCCCAAAACAAAGCAGGGGCCAGGGGCTACGCCCCTGTCAGGGGAACAGGTCAAGTCACCTCAGGAGCATGTTTCTCCAAGGCCTCCTGATTATTTCCAGCCCTGGGGCCCTCCAGCCCATTGGCAGGGTTACAGCTCCTGAAACCAGGCCGGGTGTTTCCCAGCACATTACTACACAGAATGTCTAAAAACCCTCCCTGAGCAAGAGGACCTGGAGCTTGTAGCCCTTGTCCCCCCGACCGTGTGCCGGCTGAGGGGACCTATGCAGAAGACCCAGCACAGAAGGAGAAACTCCGAGCACATCTGTCCCCGATGCAAGGTCCACACTTTCCCACCACCCCCTCATTCCACAGGCAGGTGGGGAGCAGGCACTGGACACAGGGTGGGGCGGGGCGGGGGTGTGGACGGGGTACAGCCTGCCCCTCCCGAGGGGGCGGGGCCTCCAACCTGCTCTCTGCAGCAGGGCCTGTCCCATCGCCCCAGCTGCCATCTTCACTTTCCCTTTCCCTTTGCAGTAACAGGGGTCCCGCCGCCCAGAGGGGCCTGTCTCCTGCCAGAAGGAGCTCTGCCAGGAGGGAGGGCGCAGGAAGGAGAGAAGGTGGGTCAGAGGCTGAGGAGGCCCCCAGCCCAGGGTCCTCCCACCCTGCAGCCCCAGAGGAAGGAAGCGGGGCCTCAGCTGAGGAGGCTGCCAGTCCTCAGACCAGGGACTTTCCTAAAGCAGGGGCCCTCAGAGCAGAAAGGCAGTGCTCGCAGCTGGAGACAATGTCAAGATGGAGACACACTTGGAAGCCCTGGCCCAGGTACTGCTGCCACTCTGTCCCTCTCTGTAGCCCCTTTCGACAGGTGGACCCTGAGGGGTGTGTCCCCAGCCTGGTCCTCCCCGCCCTCAGCCTGGCTTGTCTTCCCTCTGGGCTCCTCCTCTGCAGCTCCCACGCCATCGGGGGTCTCTGCCCTGTTCTGGGGATGCCCCCACTCTTGCTTCCCAACGGCCCCTCCCACAACGCCCCAGCGTTCTTGTCCTCCTGGTCCACTTCTCAGTCCGCGAGTCCGCGAGGCCGAACCGTCCCCTCCCTCCCCCTGGGGACAGTCTTTCCTGGAATCATTTCGCACACTCTTAACCATTAGACTTGGTGAAGCAGGCAGTAAATTTAGTCTGAAGCGCCTTGATCTATTTTCTATACTATTGACCCCACTGAACACACAGTGTGAGAGTAACTCTGCGGGCAAGAAGAGAAATCTTCTCTTCCAAGAGGTCTCCCCTGTGAGCAGAAGAGTAGAGCCACTCTGTTCCCAGACGCGTCCACACCCTCGGCGTTTGCACATGTAGCCGCCACCAGCTGGGAGTGGAGAGCAACACCGGGGTCGTCTGGAGACGCGCTCACCGCTCACAGCTGGGTAGAGGGAGCGCCGCGCCCAGCAAGGCACACGCTGTCATTCACATCCTGTAATTGCTGGACAGGGCTTTGCCCGGGCAGAGGACCGGCTCTGTCACTTACCAGCCCTGTGACTTGAGCAGGCCCCTCCTCTGTGCCTGCTTCCTCCTCTGTAACCTCCTCTAGATTTGGGGGCGGGGAGTAGAGTTCAGATACATGGAGCTCTTAGAACACTAGCCAGAGCCCAAAAATTTAGGTGTTAACCTGATATTTTAAAAAACAAGCAAACATAAGTGAAAAATCAGGCATGATTTGAACCTCAATATTCAAGACTGTCATTTGGGGGTTGAAGGGGTTTTCTTACTCATTTTTTTCCGATGGGTTGGGGCGGGGGTGGGCAGGAACCTGCGGTAGGGTGGGGGTGGGTGTGTGCTGTTGGAAGAGGCAGACTAGGGGCCCTATGGGAGAGGACACTGGTCCCTGCTGTCCCTGCATGCACCCTCCACTTCCTCTCCCCTGTCTTACTGCCTGGAAGGAAGCAGGAAATGCTGCGTAGAAGGCATGGGGGGAGGCAAAGCACACAGCGGGTACAGGGGCCCCTGTTTTGGAGAAACCAGATGGGAGAAACCCCAGGAAACACTCTGCATTTTCTGTTTTCTGTCTTGTCCCCAGGAACCCAATGGAGAAGTTATATCCTCATTATTTCAACTTTCACTTTACAAACTATCCCACCCCCAAATATGTAAAAGGCTGCTACCTCTGCTACAAAGTGGAAAAATTCCCCCATGACTCTCCTACACTTTTGGAGAGTGGAGTCTTTGAAAACCAGGTACAGGACCCACAATACTGTCATCAAAGACAGCAGCGAAGCCAGGGAGGGGGGTGGAAAAATGATAATGTGTAAAAGGCCAGAGGCTCCGCCCACCACATCGGCCTCAGTTTCAGGCCTCCCTGTCCCTGCCTGGCCCCCGAGCCCCGAGCCCCGGTGCACTGTGGCACTGGACGCAGCCGCGGGCCTCACTCAGAGCCTCTGCGGGCGGGCAGTCTGTCCCCCTCCAGGGCCTCTGCAGCCTTGGGGGGAAGGGCCTCCTAGAGGCTCGGGGTCTGCTGGGCCCAGCGCCTTACGTGGCCCGCGGGGGCGCTCTGCTGGCTGGGCCCTGTCCCAGCCCCTCCTCTGACCCCTCCAGGCCCACATGTGTGAGCCCCGGGGGGGAACCCACACCCACCCCGCTGGCCCCTGCCTGCTCTGAGCCTGGGCCCAGGGCTCCCTGGAGAGGGTTCAGCCTCTGCACACGCAGGGCTCACCCCGCAGCCTGCAGCCAGCGCCCGCCCTCCCCTGGGCGACGTCCCCCGCACGCCAGCCCTCCCACCTCCACCAGGCCGCACCCTTCAGAACCTATTTGGGGAGGAACTCCCTGTGGGATGGGCGCTGTCCCTGTATCGGGACCAGCCAGGAGACGCCTATGGGGGTCACTCATGGTATTTAACCTTTTCTAGTACTCAGGGTTCAAACTTTATGAGAAACTGATGGATTTCATGTTGACACTATACTTCATAATATAGCTAAGATATTATTTAAATATATATAATTAATGCAAAAGTCCTTCATGAGATAGTCTGCATTATTTTTTCCTACTAAGACATTGAGATAAGGTGTGTATTTCTCACTTGCCTCACATCTCAAGGCAGGTGAGCCACATTCACGAGCTCGGTAGACGTGTGCGGACAGTGACTCCCCTGGGCACGGCATAGCTCTGTGGCCATCCTCAGCGGACAGCACCCAGGGACCCAGCCTGGCCCGCAGGGGCCTGGCCAGGAGCAGGCGCTCAGCACGCTTGTAGGATGTGTGAAGGGGAGAACGGATGGTGGAGTTGATGGATGCATGTGGGCAGGGAAGACTACATAAACACAGAGGGGGGAGGGAGAAGTTTAGAAAGGGATAAACTGATCACTAACGTGCCCATGAGACTATGGCCCCTTGTGCCCTCGTCCCTTCCCACTCAGCCTTGCCACAGGCTTGCTGTGCCAGCCAAGAGGGTCCCCTCTCCTGGTCTTTCTCTGCCAGTTCTATCCCAGGAAGAGAGTCCACGCAGAACTCTGCTTCCTGAAATGGTTCAAGAAGCAGAAGGCGTTCTCGGAGCAGAACCTGGGCCCTGACGAGATATACCGCGTCACCTGGTACATGTCCTGGAGCCCCTGTTGGGAATGCGCGGCGCGCGTGCTTGAGTTCCTGAGCAGACACGGCTACCTGAAGCTGAGGATCTTCACCCCCCGCCTGTACCACTCCGATAAGGCCGAGGACCAGCAGGGGCTTTGTAATCTTGCCAAAAAGGTCCAACTCACCATCATGTCTCTACAGGGTGAGAGCAGAGGAAGGGGGCAGGGTTCTGGGAGGGACTAGGACCAGGCAGAAAGGATCTAGAGCCCCCAAGGAGGAAGACGAACGTCAGGTAGCTGACTGCAGAGGTGTGTTGCATCTGAAGGGGACTGGGAAGTCTCCTGGATGAGAGAGTCCAGGGAAGAGAGGTGGTCCAGGGCCGGGGAAGGTAGGATGCAGGAAAGAAGGGGGCTTCCAGGAAAAGGGAGCATTGGGCTGCCTTTCACTCCAGCTAACACAAATTTAAGTGATAATTAAGTCCCTGGGAGGAAAATGAAAGGAAGCCGTGAAGTGACAATGGGGAGGGTGTGTCCCGGGAGTCAGAGACCCTAGGACCCACGCTGCTCCCCAGGGCTGAAGCTCACCCTCATCTCCCCTGCGTCCTCTCAGACTTTGAGTACTGCTGGGAGACCTTCGTGGACCACAAAACAAAGCCATTCAAGCCCTGGGATAACCTGAAAGAAAACAGTCAACTACTATCAACAAGGCTGGAGCACATCCTCCAGGTGAGGTGCCCCTCCCCGCTCTCCCCACTCCTCACCGGCTCCCCGGGGCCTTTCTCCCCCTCTGCTCAGGCCTCCCCTGGGTTCCCTGCTGCCTCCTGGGACACAGCTCTGTCCCTCCCTTCCCTTCTCACAAGGTCCCTCTGCTTTCCCTCCTCCTGTGCCCCTCCTTCCTTCTCCATCCTTGTAGCTGCCCCAGACCGTTTCTCTGCTCCTCTTTCCCCCTGCGGCCCTCTCCGCCGCCCTTCGCCCTGTGCTCTCCGTCTGGATTCAGGGAAACTGAGGATGGAGTTCAATCTTTCTAAACAGGCCAGGAGCCTTCTAAAGAACGAAGAATAAAATATCTTGAAGAAATGAAAACTCACCAATTGCCACCATCTCCAAATTGATTCAAAGAAACCAGCAAAAGGATAAGACCTCATAATAAATTTGTTTTACAAATATCTGATTGATTCATTTTTATTTAAAATCTCTGATATGTTCCAAACATACACCAGTAAGATTTTACTCAATACTATTAGGATCATTTTTGATTTTTAAGAAAATAATTATTTTCATTGACTTTAAATAGAAAGCAATGAAATGAAAGATTAAGCATTTTTCACAAAACTTTTTTCCTCTGTACATGTATCACGAAGTCCAAAGAGTTCAATAAACACTTGTAAATGGGAAAAAGCCTTTCACTTTTGTAGGTACCTTCATGAGAGGGAAGGGGTAACAGTAATTCCCATTTGACAGGAAAAAATCAGTAATGTTTATTAGACTGAAAAGTGGAATTAAAAAACCTAAACTCACTGAGAAACTATCATCCCGAGAGCAGCGCTGTTTTTGAAACGACAGCCCACGCAACACGAGAAGTTAAAGTTGCAGTGTAACTGTAGGGAAGAAAAAATCAAACGGGAGGTTAGATGGTGGCTGAGAGTCCCTCTGGTTCGCAGGCCATTGTTAATTCCACTGACCTGGGGGGAAGCTCGAGACAGGGGCTTCCCTGCCAGAGGTTCAGCTCTGCCCTTCCAGTCCCCAGGCCCAAGCAGGACCCACCGAGGCCCCAGCCGTCTGTCCTGCCGCGTCTCTGTGCGGCCTGAAGCATGCCGCGCGGGCCCCCGGCAGCTGGGCGTCCTGCGCGGGGCGTGCAGGCTGCGAAGGCTCCCGGGTCTCTCCTCCCTCACTTCTGCACACACGTGGGGCCCAAGCTGTGTCACAGCCTCACACAGTGACTGGAAGGGGCCGGGGCTGAATCAGTGAGTGTGAGACAAGGCAGGGGCAGAGAATGAGGACAGTCACGATGGCCGTGGCCAAAGGCGGAAGGGGCTAAGTCAGGGAGGACAAGCAAGCAGAGGGAAGAACTGACAGACCAAGTGACCTGGGGAGATGGAGCAAAGGAGAGGAGAGGAGAGGCAGGGGAGGGGCGGAGCAGGGCAGAGGGCCATGGTGGGAGGACAGGGACAAGAAGGGGCCTAAGGACAGGACACGAGATAGAGGTGGGTGTGAGAGGGGGGCTGCGGCTGCCGGGACAGAAGCTGCCTGGAGGGGCTGAGAGTCAGCCCGTTTCACGCGAGCAGACCGGCGGGAAGAGTGGGAGGGCGAGGGGCTGGCTCAGGGGCTCAGCGCTGCTCTCGGGCACCGGGCCCCGGGCCCCGCGCCCCGTGCCCCGCTCAGCTCTAGGGCTTGTCTTCCCCCGCCGGTCTCCCCGAGCCTCAGATGGCCACCCCCTCCAGACAGCAGGCCTCATTCCACGGGGGCAGAAGGAGGACAGGGCCAAGCCCAGAACGCGCCGGCCTCTGCCTCCTTGCGATGGACAGCAGCAGGGACCTGCCACGAGGGGTGGCTGATGAGACAGCAGTAGGACCCAGGTTCCAGGGCGTTTTCTGGGAGCCGCTGAGGGCGCTGCAGACGGAGCAGGACTGGCGCTCGCTCGGGGTCCTCCCCTGCACCGCATGGGGAGTGATAGCAACCGGCCTTGGGGGCTGTCCTGGCAGTTAAATGTCGTGCATCTAGGACAAGGTCTGAGAGGGCAAATCCCCCGCCAGGAGTGAGGTTGTTCCTGCAAGGGGGGAGGTCTCGATGTACAAATACTCCCTCAACGTACAGGTGATCCCTCGGTCCTGCGACAGGTTGCGCTCACACCACACGCAGCCAGGCGCTGGGAGGACGTGCTGACAGGCCCTGGCGGCCTCAGCAGGTGGCCACGGCTGGGACCCGGGTCAGAGCCAGTCCTGCCCCTGAGCCTTGCCTCCGGGCTTCCCTGAGGGGGACCTCCCTCCTCCCCTCTGGGGGCTCCTCCTCTGACCCCTGGGAGCTCCTCCTGTGTCCTGACCCGGTGTCTTGCCTGACCTTTCCCTAGGAGTCCCAGCGTGTCCTCTAGGCCGATGCGCTCATTCCTGTGTCTCTCCCTGCCCTGCTGCAGCTGTGCCAGGGAGGCCGTGCATCTTAGAGGGGATGACGCCACGCCTAAGTGAGGGGGCGAATTCATAGGGCCTCCAGTCACTTACCTTAAGTCAGCCTCTGCCTTGTGGTCCCGGGCCAAGCCCCTTGCGTATCCAGGCTCCTCTAGACCTCACCCGTTCTCAGAGCAGGGAGTGACCACTCAGTACCTACTGCCCTGAGGCAAAGTCCTTTCCCTTTTCCCAAGGCCATAGGGAGACAACATAGTCAGATTCACACCTTCCATTGCTCCCCTCTCTCCCCCATTCTTCCTGTCTCCAGGCGTCTCTGCTTCTCTTCATAGGCCCAGAGTGGCTTATCCTCCTGTTTGACCCCGTCCCTTCCTCCCCACGCTCACTGTCCTCCTCTTCGTCCTCACGGACGCCTCTCTTTCTTTCCAGTTTCCTTTAACCTGAGCGCAGACTCACTGAGAACGTAGAAGAAGGGCTATAGACATTGAGGGGTATACCCTGTTCATGGATGGAGAGTCTCAGTGCCACACAGATGTCTATACCTGCCACAGTTGGTCTACACACTGATAATAGGGTTTCTCATGGACCATGAAAAAGTTTGTCCCTAAATTCACGTTGATCTGTAAAGGGCCAGTACAACTACAAAGGATGAGAAGATAAGGTGGATCTGCGTACCGGATATTAGCACCTACTCTAAAGACAGAGCGGAGCAGCGTGGTCGCAGCCCAGGCGTAGACAAATGAGGCCGTGGAGCAGATGACGGGGTTCAGAGACAGTCTCCACACGCAGACACACAGAGACATGTTCTTCGAGTTTGTGGCAGTACACACCTGTAAGACCAAATGACATGGAAGGAAATGCATGAAGTGTTTCTGTGCTGGCAATCTAATGCAAAATTTACAGTTTTATGGCTATGTCATATAATTCAGACATGAAAAAACAAATACATTTCACAACATCAAATATTAAAACTTTTGGCCCTGACAAGGTAGCTCAGTTGATTAAGCGTCGTCCTGAGGCACCAAGGAGGCGGCGTCGACCCCAGTCAGGCCATGTAGAAGAAGCAACCAGAGTGTATAAATAAGGGAACAGCAAGTCTACGCGTTTTTTATTCCCTGCCCTCTCTCTCTCTGTCTTTCTCTCTCTGTCTCTCTTTCTCTCTGTCTCTCAAAAACAAATTAATGAAAAAGGAAAACCATTAAAAATAATAAAACATCTGTAGGTGGAAAGAGTATAACCTGAGAGCCTGGCCACACAATGAAAGAAAGCTTTTGCCATGTGACTGACAATGCATTACTAACCGACATGTGTAAAAACCCTCCCTGAGCAAGAGGACCTGGAGCTTGTAGCCCTTGTCCCCCCGACCGTGTGCCGGCTGAGGGGACCTATGCAGAAGACCCAGCACAGAAGGAGAAACTCTGAGCACATCTGTCCCCGATGCAAGGTCCACACTTTCCCACCACCCCCTCATTCCACAGACAGGTGGGGAGCAGGCACTGGACACAGGGTGGGGCGGGGCGGGGGTGTGGACGGGGTACAGCCTGCCCCTCCCGAGGGGGCGGGGCCTCCAACCTGCTCTCTGCAGCAGGGCCTGTCCCATCGCCCCAGCTGCCATCTTCACTTTCCCTTTCCCTTTGCAGTAACAGGGGTCCCGCCGCCCAGAGGGGCCTGTCTCCTGCCAGAAGGAGCTCTGCCAGGAGGGAGGGCGCAGGAAGGAGAGAAGGTGGGTCAGAGGCTGAGGAGGCCCCCAGCCCAGGGTCCTCTCACCCTGCAGCCCCAGAGGAAGGAAGCGGGGCCTCAGCTGAGGAGGCTGCCAGTCCTCAGACCAGGGACTTTCCTAAAGCAGGGGCCCTCAGAGCAGAAAGGCAGTGCTCGCAGCTGGAGACAAACGCCAAGAAAGAGACATACCCGGCAAGAGGACGACATCATGGAGCCCTGGCCCAGGTACTGCTGCCACTCTGTCCCTCTCTGTAGCCCCTTTCGACAGGTGGACCCTGAGGGGTGTGTCCCCAGCCTGGTCCTCCCCGCCCTCAGCCTGGCTTGTCTTCCCTCTGGGCTCCTCCTCTGCAGCTCCCACGCCATCGGGGGTCTCTGCCCTGTTCTGGGGATGCCCCCACTCTTGCTTCCCAACGGCCCCTCCCACAACGCCCCAGCGTTCTTGTCCTCCTGGTCCACTTCTCAGTCCGCGAGTCCGCGAGGCCGAACCGTCCCCTCCCTCCCCCTGGGGACAGTCTTTCCTGGAATCATTTCGCACACTCTTAACCATTAGACTTGGTGAAGCAGGCAGTAAATTTAGTCTGAAGCGCCTTGATCTATTTTCTATACTATTGACCCCACTGAACACACAGTGTGAGAGTAACTCTGCGGGCAAGAAGAGAAATCTTCTCTTCCAAGAGGTCTCCCCTGTGAGCAGAAGAGTAGAGCCACTCTGTTCCCAGACGCGTCCACACCCTCGGCGTTTGCACATGTAGCCGCCACCAGCTGGGAGTGGAGAGCAACACCGGGGTCGTCTGGAGACGCGCTCACCGCTCACAGCTGGGTAGAGGGAGCGCCGCGCCCAGCAAGGCACACGCTGTCATTCACATCCTGTAATTGCTGGACAGGGCTTTGCCCGGGCAGAGGACCGGCTCTGTCACTTACCAGCCCTGTGACTTGAGCAGGCCCCTCCTTCTCTGTGCCTGCTTCTTCTGTAACCTGGAGTGACTCTCCAGGAATTTGTGGGAGAAGGGGAGTTCAGATACACAGAGCTCTTAGAGCAGTGGCTAGAGCCTGTGAATTTATTTGTTAGCTTGAGTAAAGAAAACATGCATAGGAGGAAACCTAGGCATGCATGTACCTGAATTTTAACAGCTATTATTTGGGGGTGGAGGTGTTGCTGGTGGAGTTCAGGCTCTGCCGCAGAATCATGAGAAAAGCATTTCACGGACCTACACCCGGAGATTGTGGTGGGGAAGGTTAATTCTGGTAGAAGTCTACCTGGGTTTCCGATGTCTAGTCTCCATTCGTCTCTCCATGGAAACAGTTCAACCGTGTCTTCAGCCAGACCAAAACAAAGGCCAGTGTTGAGAGTTTCTGTTTCACATTAACGCTGAGTCATTCGGTGCCCATGCAGCTGCTGTAGCCCTGGAATTGCTATGTCCCATGCAGAGAGCACACAGACAAACAGGGTGCGTGCAGGTCACCAAGCCAGAGAGAGACAGAGCGCCCTTCTTCCTCCGGGGTTATGTCATCTTGGCAAGGGCCAGGAGCTTTTTCAAAATAACCAATCAACTTCCTGGACTTCTGATGGTCCACGCCCTAGTTACACAGAGAGGCCTCTGTGGTCAAGCGCCCGCCCCCTGCTCCTGGGGAGAGTTCCTGTGCCCCTAGGATTCAGTGTCCTCGGTGCCAGTGTCTGGAGTGTGAGAATGAGTCTGTAAAGCTATAGCTTCCTAGCCAAGCAGGCAGGCTTTTGCTCCCCAGTTTATTAAGCTCAATGTCTAATTCCCATTGCTGGCTTTCTTATGAATTGCTAGATGACTGCCTATGGTAACAGAGAAAGTTTTATTACTCATTCCTATGTTCAAAGGTGTTGGGGATGGGAGAGCAGGAAGCCAGGGTGGGGGTGGGTGTGTGCTGTTAGATGTGGATCCCATGGGAAAGGACACCGGTCCTTGTTGTCCCCGCAGACCTCTGTCTTCCTTCCTGGGAGACATGCCGGGGAGAAAGGGTTGAGGGGAGATGCAGAGTCCAGGGGGTCAGGAGGCCAAGTTCAGAAGAAGCGGGAGGGGGGAAACTCCAGTGACTGCGTTTTCTGTGTTCTCTCCTGCCCCCGCATCCCGACGGACAGGTTACTTCCCGGGACCTACAACTTCCACTTCCCCAACCTGCTGAATGCCCCCGGGCGGAACTCCACCTACCTGTGTTTCGAGGTGGAAAAAATCCAGGGCAATGATGCTGAGTCTTGCCACATGGGGGTCTTTCAAAATCAGGTACAAGATCCTTGACACTGCCATTAAAGGGACAGATGTGGGAAAATTATAAATGTAAAATGCCAGAGGCTCCGCCCACCACATCGGCCTCAGTTTCAGGCTTCCCTGTTCCTGCCTGGCCCCCGAGCCCCGGTGCACTGTGGCACTGGACGCAGCCGCGGGCCTCACTCAGAGCCTCTGCGGGCAGGCAGTCTGTCCCCCTCCAGGGCCTCTGCAGCCTTGGAGGGAAGGGCCTCCTAGAGGCTCGGGGTCTGCTGGGCCCAGCGCCTTACGTGGCCCGCGGGGGCGCTCTGCTGGCTGGGCCCTGTCCCAGCCCCTCCTCTGACCCCTCCAGGCCCACATGTGTGAGCCCCGGGGGGAACCCACACCCACCCCGCTGGCCCCTGCCTGCTCTGAGCCTGGGCCCAGGGCTCCCTGGAGAGGGTTCAGCCTCTGCAGACGCAGGGCTCACCCCGCAGCCTGCAGCCAGCGCCCGCCCTCCCCTGGGCGACGTCCCCCGCACGCCAGCCCTCCCATCCACTGTCCGTCTATCTGTAGGACTCTGTCCACGCAGAACTCTGCTTCCTGAATTGGTTCCGTGTCCAAAATCTGTCTCCTCGTGTGGATTACCAAGTGACCTGGTACCTTTCCTGGAGCCCCTGCTTCTACTGTGCAATGAAAGTGGTCAAGTTCCTGAGGAAGCACAAAAAAGTGCGCCTGAACATCTTTGCCTCCCGCCTCTACATGTATGACCACAGAGAGCAGCACGGACTTCGAAACCTGGAACAGGCAGGGGCCCAGGTGGCCATGATGTCTCCCGAATGTGAGTGCAGAGGGAGCCGCGGCAGGGAGCCGGTCCGAGGGATAGGACCGGGCAGGGGGGCACCTAGAACTCCCCAGGGAGAGTGGGTGGAAGGGGAATAGGGGAAACTGAGGTAGGAGTGCTGGCGCCTTTCAGGGAAGAGACCAGGTCCTGAGGGGCGAGGCCAGGGAGGATGAGGAGAGAGGTGCCGTGGCCAGACCTGACCACTCTCTTCCCTCTTTGCGCCAGTGTTTGAATACTGCTGGGATAACTTTGTGTACCATGGCGGCAACAACTTCAGATATTGGAAGGGTGTGCGCCGCAATTATAATACTCTGGTTGAGGAGCTTGATGAAATCCTCGAGTAAGTGTTTCCTCAGCCCCCTCTGCCTCCCCCGGCCCCACCCCCCTGCCCCCCCTCCCCTCCCACCACCTACCCCTGAGCCTGGGCCTCTGGGCCTCTCTGTGCCTTCAGCTGCACCCCTGCCCTGCGCTTTTCCCTTCACCCCTCAAGGCCTCCCTCTCCCCGAGGGAGGGAGCCCCCACCCATTAATTGGGCCCTCCCATTTCACCACCTTAACCAAATCCTGTTATTAACATGAACATAAATGGTCATGAATGTGCACAAGTGTGACAATCAGACAGGCTGGCGAACCACAGAAGGAGGGCACTGGGCTGCCAGGGCTCCCCGGTGCGCCCGGTGGCGGCCCCTGGTGGCTGGAATGGCCTGAGCCTTCCTGCAGCTGGAAGGAAACGACCTGATTCTGAGAGAGGCCTTCATTCCCGTGGCAAAGGCCACTCGGCCACTTCCTGCTCAGGCCACTCGGCCTCTGGAAGGCGGTCAGAAGGGTCCAACTGCTGTCTCTTCATCCAGCAGGTGAGGATAACGTCAGGGTCCCCAGGAGGAGGCCCCCGAGCAGGGTCCACAGGAGGTGGAGCGTCTCCGAGGGAGCTGAGCCCAGCTTGGGGCCCAGGGCTCCGATGTGAACAAGCCTCGCCAAGACCCAGAAGACACAGGCTTGTCCCTAGTTCTCCGAATGGCCCTTCCCCGCTCTCCAGCCACATACGAACGCTCTCCCTCTGCTCTTGGGAGAAGGCGACTTTGAGAGATCCTTCTCTGCTCTTCCCTCACTTTGGCCAAATCGAATAAAGCCTCTGTGAATAAAGCCGGGCTCCGGTGTGTCAGTGCTCTGGCTCCCTAGCACATGGGGCCCAGCACCTGAATCCTGGGAGGTGGCTCAGTGACTGCTCCATGGACCAGGTGACTTAACTAGACGTTTATCCCCTCGTGGTTCTGGAGGGTGGACGTCCAAGATCGAGGTGTCTGCAGGGGGGTTGTTCCTGGGGCCTGCCTCTGGCTGCAGATGGCCGCCTTCTCCCCCGGCCCTGCTTGGTCTTTCCTCTGTGCATGACCCCTGGTGAGACCCTGTTGTTCCTCTGTGTGTCCCAACTCCCTCTTCTTGTAAGGACATCAGTCAGGTTGGAGCAAGGTCTTTCCTCGGTGTCTCGTCTACAGTTAATCAGCTCTCTAAAGGCCGCATCTCAAATGCAGTCACATTCTGAGATCCTGGGGTAGGACCTCAGCATGTCAGTTTGGAGTAGGGGACTGAGCTCAGCCCATAATGACCAAGGAGCTTCCTGAGCCAGGGGGTTCAGTACAAGCCTGAGCCTTGTCCTGTGTGTCAGTCTCCCATGTGACGGCCAACCTGACCCTGACTCACTTGCATCCATTCCGGACGTTGCTGCGCTGGAGCTCCAGCCCCCCCCTCACCCTGGCACCATCGCCCCCTCACCCCCGCCCCACCGCCCCCACCAGTAGCCTTTCCCTGGTCCCTGCCTGGGGAAACTTGGCAGAGCTCCCTTTGGGGATTGTGATGGAGAAGGAGCAGAAAGAAAATGAGTGGTTAATTTACGTTGACATTTAAATAAATTTTACAGCAACAGTGGGATCGGGCACGTGAGGGGGAAGTTATCAGAGCTTCCCAAACAGCAGAGTAGAAAGTGGAGAGCAGCCAGGAATCAGGCCAGAGACATGGCTGCTCAGGCGCTCAGTGTGGACCATGGGTGATGCTACCTGGTCCTTGGGCCACAGCGTTGACACCCACGTGACCCTCCTGGGGACGGACTGAGTCAAGACCCAGACAGGGTGGGCTGGGCCGTGGGGCAGCCAGCAGGGAGCAGATGATGATCATGATATGCTGGGATTCTGGGCAGGCAGCCGGGAGGAAGGAAAAGCAAGAGGAAAGGTGTGCGTTGGGAATACGACCATAGAATCATTTCGGAGAATGCCCTGGGTCTCCCACGGCCAGCAGTTTCTCCCTCGATCTTGGCCAGCCAGGTGTAAGTTGGCAGACACCAGTCTCTTCACATCCCCTCCCTGTCTGCACTGCTGCCTGGGGTGTAGAGAACAGTCCAGGCATCTTTGGCTGCCTCAGTCCATCTATTTCGATGCTCCGCTCTCTGTGCTTCCTCCACGGGGGGAAGCGCATGGCGGCTCAGATGTGGACCGGCCAGAGGGTCCGGCCTGTGTGGGTCATCAAACCTGGCCAGAGGGTCCCACTGAGAATGCCTCCTCTTCCTGGGAGGAAGGATGAAGCAGAAGGTCAGTTTTAGATATCTGTGGGGACCTCCAGGACACCTCTTCCAAGACAGCCCCGTCTTGCTCTGGCACATCTCCATTCGTTGCTCCTCTCCGACAGCTCCTGGGATTCTCCAGCCAGAGCGCGAGTGCCGTCGACCGCGTGGACGCTGGCCCTGGGCTGCTGCAGCCCGGCAGCCCTGGGTGGTTGCTTACCTCCAACAGGAAAGTCCCTGCACTGGCTGCAGAGTGGGCACGGTGACTCCGCAGTCACTCAGGGCCCACACGACTGCCAGCTTCCTGCTATGCTATCCTCAGGATGTGCGGGGACTTGGTCCTCGTGGCCCAAAATGTAGCCACATGTAACATCGGCATTTGTCAGCCCAATGAGGGAAGAGGAGCAGAAAGGGGAAGATGACCAGTCCAGCTGCTCCTAAGGAAGGGTCCCAGATGCTGCTATAAGGAGTTTATTTTCACATCTCCCTGACCAGGACTTAGTCACTCGGCCACACCTAGCAGCAAAGGAGTCTGGGAAACGTAGCCTTTATTTTTGATGGCTGTATAATTTGCTAAACAATCAGGGGCTATACATTTTGAAATAGGAGTATTAATACAATAGAACAGCCCTGGCTGATGTGGCTCATTGGATTGAGCCCTGGCCTCCAAACTGAAAGGTCGTTGGTTCAATTCCTGGTTAGGGCTCATACCTGGGTTGGGGACATGAGAGATTCTTTCCCTCTCTTTCTCCCTCCCTTTTCCTCTCTCTAAAAATAAATAAATACAAAAAAATACACATGGCACACTTTATAGCTTCTACAACATACATGACAAAGTTTTCAAAAACAAATGTGAAATATGTATGTACTGTGAAGAGTATCCCTTCAACGTTCACGTCCTTCCCAGAACCTCAGAAGGTGATCTTACTTGGGCATAGCATCCTTGCACACGTAACTAGCAATGGTGAGGCCGCGCTGACGTGTGCCAGCCCTTCATCTAACACGACTGGTGTCCTTGTAAGAAGAGGAGACACGCGGATCAGGACTTGCAGCGGGAAGGCCATGTGAGGACAGAGGTTGGAGGGACGTTGTACGAGCCCAGGATTTCGGGCCACAGCAGAGGGGAAAGGCCCCACCTGTGGCAGACACGGGGGCCGTCACAGAAAGCTCTGTCCTCCCGAGCTGTGGAAGACACGCTTGTGTTGCTTAAAGCCACCCCACATGTGGCAGTTTGTAAGGCTGGGTTGGGTTGGAAAGTCCACCCTCCCATGCCCCGTCCTAGCTGAGTGGCCCTGGGCAGAGCCCCCCGGTCTCAGTCTCCCACGTCTGCCAGCGCTCTGCTGAGAGTCACGGCGGGTCGGTCCTGGGCAGCTCCCCCCAGGGCCGTGCGGGCACATCGCAGCGGGGAGCCTTTGGCACCCAGCCTGCCTCCTGGTGTGCGGGCCCTATGAGCAGAACGGAGCCTTCCCCGTGCGCTGCGTGAGCCCAGAGCTCCCGGCCTCCTGCCAGCAGGCAGCCCCCTGACCTGCACAGCCCGAACCCGTTCCTAAAATCGGCCCCTCCCGAAGCCTCCTGAGACGGGGAGGGGGTCTCCTGTGCCAGATGGGGAAACGGAGGCCCTGAGGAGCTGCGGGGCTTGTCCAGGAGCCTCACGGCTAGAGCCTCCTGCTGGCTCGTCCGCTGCCCTTGCTCTGCCCGCCGAGCCCCCTCCTCATCTCTTCTCGCCCACAACACCTCCTGCTGCTGGTTCAAAGGACCGGTTCTCGCTGTCGCTGCCTTTAAATACGGGAGTCCCGCGTCCCGCAACTTCTCTCTGGTTCCCGGGTGCTTGTGGGGCCTTGACCGGCGTGGCTGTGGCCCTGGGAGAGTCCTGTGGACTATCCTGGACTGTGGTTGGGGGAGCGTTGGGCAGGCATCAAAGGCTGGCGTGGGCCCTGGCTCTGCCGCCCACCAGCTGAGAGGTGGGGGGCGAGGCCTTCCCCTCTGAGCGTCGGCGTCCCCGTCCGTGAAATGGGCATGACATGCCGGCCTTGCCGGGCTCTCCTGGGAAGCGGAGGGACGAGGAAGCACTTTGTTAACCCGTGAGTGCGGGCACGCGCGTGGGAACGTGTCAGCCGCGGTCCGCCAGTCATCCTTTGACCCTCCCCCAAGCCTTGACTGAGGTCCTGGCACGTGCCAGGCACTGTTCCAGGTGCCGGGGTCCGGCAAGGCGCAGAGCGGCAGCCGTCCCTGCCCTCACGTGGCTCTCGTCTACACTGATACACAAGCGTGCGTGCTGTCAGACGGCGGTCAGGGCTGCAAAGGCGGCGTCAGGACAGGGAGAGGGATGGGCGGGGTGCGGGCTTCCCTGGGCAGTTCGCTGGTGGCGTTCATGATCCGGGACCTGGACGAAGTGGGGGGCGAGCCCGCGGGTACTTTAGGGAGCATCCGGGTGAGGCGCCGGGAGTGCCAAGGCCCCGGGCGAGGGCCTGTGTGTGGGGAGCAGCACTGACGCACGTGTGGCCCTGAGTGTGGCCGCCCGGAGGGGTGTGGGCTGTGCAACGGGGGGCGGGGAGGGTCGGGCACAGCGTGGGAGGGCAGGGGCTCCTGAAGGAACAGGGGCGGCTCGGCTCAGGGAGGGCAGAGTCAGTCCTGGCAGGGAACGGCGTGCTATTCGCAGTCGGACGTCCACAGTTAAGGAGCGAACCAGGAGCCCGGAGACCTCCGCAGACCCGCCGTGTGCCGCTGCCTCACTCCTCTCAGGCTTGCTGAAAAGCCAGTGAAGGGGAGTGTGTCCGTCCAACGCGCGCGGGCCGGCCTGCCGTGAGACCGGAGGCGGCCGGGCCTGCCGGGGCGCCCGGTACCCCGGGCCGGCACCGAGGGCACTGAGGGCAGCTGGGGCCCCGGCCCTGGGCGCTAACAGAGACAGCTACTAAGTGGCTAACACGTGAGGGAGGGGTTGTTGCACACACTGGGCGGAAACACTGGACAAAGGGGTGATTCTTGTCCTGGAAGGAAACACAGAGAAGGCACAAGATTTCATCACGCCACTCTGAAAGGCACACAATTTAAAACTTAACGAATTGTTTAGTTCTGAAAGTTTCCATTTCATAGTCTCCTGCCCCGAAAGCATGGAAACCATGGGAAGTGAAACTGCACAGGGGGAAGTGAGACACAGAACCATGTTCCTGGCTCACTGAGCCCTCACTGTGCGGACTTGAAGAGCGGACCGTGACCTCAGTGTTTGTCCCCACCTGTAAAAAAGAACGCAGGGGTGGCCCACCACGGAAGGCCGTGCTCAGGTGACATACCTGACAGTCAGGATGGACCCTTGTGCAGTGGCGCCTGTGGGACCTTGCCTGGGAACCCAAAATTAGGGTCAAGGCGCGAAGCCGGGGACAGGGCATGCTAACGCCCCACCCGCTCTCTAAAGGGAGGCGCCAGCCAGGCCCAACGACAACCCCTGCCCCCCGCCACCCCGCCCCATCACTCCTCCTCGCCTCTGCACCCTCGCCACCCCACCGAGGCAAGCGCGCACCCAAGTCCCACCCGTCACCAAGTCAACCCTCACTCTGCATCTGAAGGTCACAGGAAAATTGAGGTCACGCCCGGTCCCTGGCAGGGCGGGGCCTACCCGCAGGCTGAGCCCGGGGCCTGGAGCTCTTCTCTCCTGGCAGCTGTGACACCATCAAAGGAGAAACTGAATGCCCATGGACTTTTTTTTTAAAATCATCTTTAATGTATTTTTAACAATTTTTTGCCGTATTTACCAGATAAATCATCTAAATAAATAGATGCTATACATTCTCTTACCAATATCAGTACAAAAATAAAACCAAGCTCTGCATCCACTCTGGCTCTCCCCAGCACACACCCTCTCAGAACAGGCATGTGCTGGGCTTCAACGCATGCCCAACCCCTCCCCGTACATTCATTTCGTCTGGACAAAGCTCACTGCTCACTCTGTGCAAAGGAAGCGTTCTTGTGCTGAGACCTGGAGGCCGGGCCGGCCGTGTACACAGCAAAGGCTCCACCACCTAACTGAAGCGTAGTGCCTTCTGCCGGCAGGAGAGGAGGAGAGAGTGGGCAATAGGTTCCATGGGGCGGTGATCGTGGGTTGCCCGACAGAGCTCGGCCGCTGCCTTACGAGCGGCCTTGCCAGGGTGGAGAACATTCTCCCTGTCCAATCCCACAGCAAAACAAAAGTACCGACCAGTCTTCCTACATTCAAATGGGTGGGGGCTGGGGGAAGGACAGGCAGGTGGTCCAATCTTTCTAAGCCCCCACCCTCTCGAGTACTGGCCTTCCGGGTGGCGGTGGGGTAGGGAGGGAGGTCAGGGTCCGCTGTGCTCTGCTCAGGCCGGGCCCCAGCCCAGCTGGGACACTCAGGGCTGGGAGGGGACCTGCAAGGCCACACTTGACCCCTCACAGAGGTCTCTGTCCTGGAGGCGGGGGAGGGGGAGAGGTCCTCAGAGGCCGCAGCCCTTTCCCCAGGGAGCTGGCTCCTGCAGGCTTCAGGTCTCCCTGAGACACAGGGCGCCCATGGGCCGCAAAGAGCAGAGTAGGAGGCATGTTCTGTTGCTACCCACAGAACAGCTGCCTCATCCCACAAAAGGCTCCCCAAACCCCCGACCCTACGAATTGCACAAATAGCTCTTTGAAAGTGCCCATGAGGCAGGAACAGGTCCCGTGTCTCCTGGGGAATGGCTAGCCATGTCCCAAAGCCATGAGACGGCAGCATTCAGTGACCTCCGCTGGGAGCCCTTGTCCTGGGTGAGTCCCCAGCTCCAGGGGCCATTCCCCTCCCAGGGGTCCCGCAGCTGCCCCCCCTTTCCCTGACCCATCCCCACTTGCTCCTCAAGATTCAACTCCCCAGGCTGGGGGTGAATCAAGTCACCCCTGAGGGGACTGTCCCTCAATGGAAGCACTGAATTGACCCTGGACAACAAAGGATTGAGGAGGGAGAGGAGACCAGGGACTTGAGAAGCTTGCCAGCGGGGCACCCCAAACAGAAGCGGGGTACAGTCTGTCTTTGGTTTGGGAAATCGGGTAGAAGGGGCCTGGGGGAGGGCTCGCCCTAGCCTTGCCTCACGACACAGCACACAGCGGGGTGGAGAGCCAGCCCTGGAGGTGGAGGGCGGGGGCAACAGCGGAGGGTGGCGGAAGTCAGGGTTATATGTGCTCTCCTGGTGCACCCCTCCCCCAAGGGTCAGGATAGGGAAGAAGTCACTCCTCACTGCAGGGAAGCCACTAATCCACAGGGCACATTTGTACAAACTGGAAAAAACGAGCGCTCCATTCTCCTGACAGACACAGTCCCTTGCCGGGTAGGTGGGGCGGGGCTTGTGAACAGCCTGACCACTACCCACTGCAGCTTGACCACAGGAAGACATGGCAGAGGCCCCCACAGGGAAACAAGGCCAGCTTTGGCCTGCAGGGTGGGTGGCGGGGTGGGGGGGGGCACAGGATGTGAGAAGGAAGGGTTAGGGAGTTGAGGCTGCCCTGAGAAGGTGGTGGGACACTCCCTTCCTCCTGGACCATCCACACCCACACCCACCATTGGCTGAGCTGGAAGAGGAGGCAGAAAAAGAGGGCAGTGGGAAGGGCTGAGAAGTCACCTGAGTCAGAGAGAACAAGCCCCTCAGGAGGAAGCACAGGAGCCGAGAGCCTCAGAGCCATGCTATGCAGGGCCCATCCGCACCGATGTTTACACACCTGCGAATGGCCAGGCGAAACCACAAAACCACACCTGTGTGCCTGGAGCGGCAGCAGCCATCTCGCCATGGCTGGAGCCCTGCCGACAGCTTCTAGCAAACAGAGCTGGGCTGGATTCTGTCACGTGATGGCCCGTGCCAGGTGGGTGAGTGTGGGGTGCTTGTGGCAATTTCTTCTATGCTGTGAATCACCCCGCGTTCACCTGACCAGGGTTTCCAAACATGAGATTTGCAACACCCCCTACACATGTCTGCAGTCACACGCAGGCGCTCACTAGGGCAGGAGGGGCCGTGTGCAGCACATGCCTGCGCGGCTCGGGGCGCACGCACACGTTCCTCCCGGGCCGGCGGTGGGGGACGAGGGGAGCTCTCAGCAGAAGGAGCTCTGCTGGCAGCCGCCCTCAGGGAAACGGAGAGACCTCTCTGAAGGGTATCGGACACACAGGACACACTGCAGCAACCTCTAACTCTCCCCCCTGCCCCTTCCCTCTGCCCCTCACGCTGGACAAAGGGAACCTCCAATGGCACTGCGAGCTGGAGTGCAAAGTTAAAAATAAAGACCCCTCCCCCTGAAGAGAAAGGAAAAGGAAAGTCAACCAGAAAGGCTGGGGTGGGCTGCTCAAGGAGGCGGGCCTGGGCCTTTCCATCCTCCTGCAGTTCCGAGGACCAGCTGCTGTGTCTCTAGAGAAGAACGGTGACGGAGGTGTCCGAGGGCTGGTGGCCTTGTCCCATTCTGCCCTGGAGATGGCAGCCAAACCGACAGGGCGGTGCCGGGCCTCCCTGCCTCCTGGCCAGACAGAGGCCCGCAGGCCTCCCTGTAAACATCCCGGCAGAGAAGGGGCAGGGCGATGGGAGAGCGTTGGGATCTTCCTCCCTTGTCCTGTTCCATATTGTTAAATAAAATAATTACCCCACCCCAATCCCGCCCCATCTCTGGAAGTCCCCACCCCAAGCCCAAAAGAAAACAGTTTAAGAAAAGTAAAAACGGTGATTCAGAACTTCCCGCTGCGGTCTCGGAAGAAGCCCTCAGCCGCCTGGGCCTCGCGGAAGGTGACGGTGATGGAGTTGGCGGTGATATCAGTCACTGTCACTTCACTTGTGGGGAGCACAGGTGTCCAGGGAGGGGGCCCCTCGGCCAGGTCTGCATCTGCTACAGCCGTGGGAGACAGACAGACAGACAGATGGAGGACAGCGCTGACAATAAGGTGGGGAGGGTGGCACGGGTGGCAGCATGCAGACTACGCCCCACCCCCCAACACCAGGCCGCCCCCCGAGTCTCCAGCCGCCGGCTCAGGGCCTTTCCCAGGACTGGACACACGCGGGGAGGTCCCTACATTTATCTTTCCTGGCTGGCCCGCAATTCGTCCTGAGCAGGACCACAGAGAGGGCTCTGGGCTGGGTGCCAGGGTATGGCCTCCAGAGCACCCCAAACCCTCTCCGGGCCTTAAGCCAGTCGGGCCTGGTGACTCAAGGGACCTTTCCAGCTTGGAGGGTCTCTGGGTCTGGCCTCGGGCTGGGCCACCTTACCCTCCTCTCCAGGGGGCTGCTCAGCAGGCTCCCACTCGCTGGCTGCCTGCAGGGTGTCCGGGGCCGGCGACTCCTGCAGGAAGAGCTCCCGTGGATGGCTGTGACTCTCCAGGTTGGGCCCGCGGGGCGGGAACTTCTTGCGTGAAAGCCGCAGGTACTTGTGGGCCTTGCGCGGCTTGCGGAGCGGAAAAGGCAGGGCGGGCACCAAGGGGCCCTTGTCCACCAGCTCAGGCGCCCCCGCCTTCACCACCCCCTCGGGGCTCCCGCTGCCGAGTGGGCGCGTCAGGGAGAAGCAGAGCTTCTCCTTGCCCTTGGCCTTGTGGGAGCTCCGCAGGTCCATGCTGTACAGCCGCTGCGGGGGCAAGCCAGGGCACGGCCGGTCAGCCCTGCCCTCCTACCCGCTGCCGCGCCTTTGCTCATGCTGTTCCTCCCGCCTCGGCTCCCTTCCCCGCAGCTCATGGCCCAGGGCCAGCCATCAGCCCACCCCCAGCCCTACAGCCCCACAGGGCGGCCTTTTCTCCCCAGGGGGCTGTAGGGGCTCAGGGATGGGGGCTACAGGCACATGCCTTTGGTACAGTGGAGGAGCATACAGAGAAACAAAGAACAGATCTGGATTTCTGAAGCCAATGAATCAAGGAATCATTCTTCATCATAGGAAAGGAAACCCTGGTTACTGAAGGACCCCCACGGCCAGGACAGCAGGCTTCTCAGGAAGACGGCATGAGGCGGAGGGCTCTGAATGTCCCCGGGGCAAGCTACCCAAGGGGGACGCACAGCACTGGCTGGTGCAGGCACTGCCCGCAGCCCGCGGGCACCCCTGGGTCCCAGCACGCGTGCTCGGCCCGAGCTGCCGCGTGGCCCCTTGGGGGCCCAGTCCTCTGTTGATGTGCTGCCTCATTCTTGTTAAAACAGGATGAAAGGAAGGTATTCTACCACTCAAGGACTGGTGTTTCGCAATTTGGGGATTTGTCTTATTGACTTTGGGGGGTCATTTATATAAGTCCAAGAAAGATCCTTGGTGCTAAAATGCTGGGAGGACCTGGGTCACTCTGGGATAGTACTTTCCACTGCCCCCTCTCACCAGAGGCCAAGAGTTCCCAGGAAGAAAGCGAGGCCATCAGACAGGACCTGCAGGTCCAACATCTCCAGGTGGGAGCAAAGGTCCCACGTGCAGGCTCCGTCCTCTAGTCCCACCTGCTAATGCCTGTCAGTGGGCACGCGTGTGGGCTGTTGTGGTGAAGCGGGGGAGGGCTGAACTGGGCGGAGACTGGGAAAACACAGCAACGCGAGGAGGGCTTATCCTATACGCAGCTTTATCAAAACCTGCTCCCTCTGCCCGGCTTGCAGGCCATCACAAGCCCAGTAAACTCTCCCACGACTCTGCAAGGTGGACTCATCTCTGTCCTTCTCCGCCTCACCATGGGAGAAGTGACCGGGAGCACAGAGGTCAGGTCTGGGTTTTCATCCAGCTGCGTGACCCTGGGTAAACTGCTGGCCTACCTGAGCTTCAGCCCCCTCATCAGAGAAACAACGAACAAGCTGTGGCAGCCGGCCTGCGGGATGGCCACTGTGGTCCCTGACGCTGGGAATCTGCACCATGTGCGGTCCCCTCCCGCATGAGCCCTGCAGTGGGGGACTTCCCAGGCTAGGTCATTAAAGGCACTGTGCTTCGCACTCGCGTGCGTGTGCGCTCTTGCCCTCTCCCTCTCTCTCCCTCCCTCTCCCTCTCCCTCCCTCCCTCTCTCTCTCTCTCTCTCTCTCTTTCTCTCTCTCAGATCCCCTCTGGGGGAAACTGGTGGCCACACTGTGAGGCGACACAGCAGCCCCCGGGGAGGCCCACCCGGTAAGGAGCCAGGCCTCCTGCCAATACCGAGCGCTAACCCGCCCGCTAACCCGCCCGCGAGGAGCGCCTGTGATGAGTGCTCTGGAAGCAGTCGTCCAGCTCCAGCCAAGCCTTCAGAGGAGCGGATCCCTGGCGGACATCGTGACTGTAAACCCAAACTAGAATCACTAAAGAACTAGCTAGAGCACTCCTAAATTCCCGACCCACAGGGACTATGTGAAATCACAAGTGTTTATTGCTTAAGTTGCTTAGTTAGAGGGGGGATTTATTACACAGAAATAGATGATACATCCTCCCCAGAGGTCTCCTGTGCAGATGAAGTATGTTCACTGTGGAGAGCGCTGAGCACAGAGCTGAGTGTGGGGAGGACGTCTGGCATCCTCTCCTTCCTGGGTCCAGTTTACGCCAAGCCCCCGTGGAGCGTGCCTGCCACACGGAGGGAGGCCCGGCGACTCCGGCAAAAGCCTCAGGAGATCTACCATCAAGAGTGGACAGGAAGGTGGACATGGCTCACACTACAGATGAACCAAGACGACTTATGTTTGGCTCCAAATACCTGGATGCACCTTACTAAATTAGGGAGAACAGGTGCTCCTACCATTCCAGTTTCACGGATGGGAAAACTCAGGCTCCGAGAAGCTAACCACATGGCACAGCTGCCTCCAATCACAAAGCTACGCCACTTCAGACTCCACCCTCTTTCCAGTGCAAAGCAGCGAGGTCAGCAAGTGCCCTCCAGACCCAGGTAACAGGATGCTAGGAAGTCTGGACCCCACCTGAAGCAGAGACCTGGAAAAGGGGGCCTCGGGTGCTCTTCTCACTCAGAAATGACACCCTTCTAGGACATTCCAACACTACAGTTCCAGAACGCCAGGAGTTTCCTTTCCTTGAATTCTAAAATTCCAGGCTCCCATGTTTCCTCAGTTCTAAAGTTTTTGTCTCCTAAGGATGTCAAATATTACAACTTTGCATTTTAGGGACTTTGAATATCCAAAAGGATTGTTTACAAGATTCTAAGCTTTTAAAATTCTGCGAGCCCATTAGCCATATACCGCCCCCCCCCGCCCCCACCCCCACAGCACCTCCCCCTGGGCTGCCTTCCTGGGCCACCAGCCCCACGCTGGCCTCTCTGAAACTCCTGCCTGGGACCTTGCCCGCTAAGTGCCTCCCACCCACAGTGCCTGGTTGGGGGGGGCAGGGGGGAGATGGGCGTGGCTGAGGCAGGGGTGGTGCGGGGAGGGAGTGGTTCAGCTCAACTGGCTGGGCAATTGCAGGGTGAGCGTGGGGACTTGCAGGTGGGCACCAACGCTGGTGGGTTACCTGCAGCAGGAGCCGCTTGGGTTTCGGACCTCTCTTCCTATACCCCGACGCTCGGTCTCTCTCCTCCCTGACGTGCAAAGCAGATGGTAGAAGAAAAGGAAACACTGGTGACGTTAAGGGAAAGTGAGGCGCCCGCCCCACCCTGCCCTCCGCAGTCCTCCACAGACCGCCCCTCATCCTGCAGTAGGGGCTCCTCCTCCCTGTTGCTCTCTTTAGGCCATGACAGCGGGGTCACATGTTTAACTCCCAGGGCCTCGGTCTTCCCAGCTGACAAAAGGCAAGGCACAGCCGCTGGTCCCAATTGCTGAGGTAGAGCTCAGGTGGTATCTACAAACAGGTGGCTCTTTACCGGGCGCCAGGGTCACGCCAGAACTCTGCTCCACAGGCCCCCCTCCCCAAAACAGAGTTGCAGCGTCAGTCAAGTTTGCCTGAACGTCCCAGAGCAGCTCGTGAGGACGGGAATGGTCCTTTCCCTCGTCTGGGACCCCTTGCTGGGATCTGCACGGCGGGTGGAGAGAACAGGCTCCCACCTGCCCGCCTCTCCAGTCTGGGAGGGGGCGGAAAGCTGGCCTGCCCCGAGCCCCTAGGAGAGGACAGGGTCTGCTGGGGGCCTTCCGCGCCGCCCAGGTGCACATCCCCAACGCACAAGCACAGGCACAGCCCGAGGTTGCAGACACAGCCCCACGCAACACACACCGGCAATCGCCAACACCAGGGCCTGAAGTGGTGGGAAAATTCACAGTCCTTTCCTTCCACCCACTGCACTTCGTTCCCTTCACACTTTCTGTGGCCCCCACGGCAGAAGCCGTGCGGTTGGCAGCAGGGAGGTGAGGGCAGGAGTTCGCCCTGGTGAGGAAAAGTCTGAGATGCTGTCAATTAAATTCCAGCGGGCCAGCGAGAGAGGAAGAGACAGAGCGGCCAGCCTGCTCGTAGCTCGGGCCAGCTGGCAAAAGACGGCCCACATCCCTGACTGCAGGCTGGCGCTAGGAATCGACCTCCAGGAGCCGACCACCAGGCCCGCCTCGTTCTGCTCGTGTGTGGCCTCTCAGGACCGTGGCCTGGAACCTACCGAAAGCAGAAACTATTTCTTCCTCACAGTCCCTGCACCCGTGATAGAACGGCCCCCGCCTTACCATTTCTCGCCCCCCTTCTCTGGGGCCAGTGGAAAGCCTTTCAAAACACATCTTTCTTCCCCCAAACATAATATGCAGGCAGGCAATAGTAGGGTTACAGTTGTGAGTGCGTGAAACAGTTTCTTCTTGTATTTTTATTTATTAAATATTGTATCATTTTGTGTAGACCTACTTCTGCCCACCCCTGTGTAAACACCCCCGAACCTCCCCCCCCAGTCAGTCAACTCCAGGGCGGGGCAAGGGCTGCCTCACCAAGCCCCGCTGCCTGTGGGCTGGACGGCACGCCCCCCGACCTGGTCCTTTGCTGGCCTGCATATGACCCAGGAAGCCCTTTTTTTTAAAAAAGTCTCAGCCACAGGAGTTGCATTTTTTGTCTAACAGGGCTCTTCCCCTTACTGGCTGTGGGGCCTTAGGCCAGGCTCCACATCTGAGCCCAGCTACACCCACGAGTCCTGAGAGGCGGTCCCCACTGTCCCCCTCCTCCAGGCAGCAGCGGCCTGCCCTCCGGCACCCCAGTCTCCAGGGCTCCTAGAGGCCGCAAGCCAGATGGGCCCCCCCCACCGCCCTCCGTGGAGGGGGCTTCAGCAGGCCCCCTGGGGGGCCTGGGACCAGCATTGGAGAGAAGCGCACAGGGCTCCGGGACGCCCGCCCCCGGCAGCTCCGCAGGGCAGGCCTCCGAGCCTGGGGCTGCGAGGCTTCTCTCAGGGCTGGCGCGGGGCCAGGGCACCTGCTCCGGGCCGAGCTCTACCCGGCCCACGGGGGCCCCCTTCCCTCGGCTTCAGCGTCCCTGTCTGGAGGAAGAGGCTCCATCCTCAGCTCATCACCAAGGCTCTTAAGAGAAACAGGAGATGTCGCTGGTATTGACGAAAATGGGAAGTAGAAAGGCTAAAAGCATGAAGGGGAGGAAGAGCGAGGGAGGAAAAAGCAGAGGAGAGGGGAGGGAGCAGAGGGAGGGGAAAGGGAAGGGTGTTGGGGGAAATAATTGTTCTGGTAATAATGTGTTTATTATATTTATATGAGTTATTTGTTACTATGATTGTGTGCTGGACACGGTACGAGGCACTGCTCTAACGACCTGAACCCTCACAGCCGCCCTATGAGGGAGGCACTATTATCACCCCCACTTTACAGTTGCAGAAACTGAGGCGGAGAGGCTAAGGAACCCACGCAATGGCAACCCATCACACCTCCCACTGCCGGGGAACATGCTGAGCTCTGGTCCCAGACCCGGGAGGGTCAGGCCTAGGACCCCGGGCAGGGTCTGCAGGACAGGCCTGGAGCCCAGCCCACGCGATCCCGGCCTCCTATCTGCAGCCCGCACCCCCAATCCTGCCTGCAAACTGCGGGGTGCCGGGGGTGAGAGGGCGAGGTAGGGGCTTGCATCTGTCCCATCTTTACCAACTCAGACCCTGGTATCTATCGGACCTGGACACTCTGACCATTAGCATCCAGGGCGGAAACGCAGAGGCCGCCACAGGTCCGGGGCCCCAGCTGCCCTCAGTGCCCTCGGCGCCGGCCCGGGGTACGGGGCGCCCCGGCAGGCCCGGCCGCCTCCTGTCTCACGGCAGGCCGGCCCGCGCGCGTTGGACGGACACACTCCCCTTCACTGGCTTTTCAGCAAGCCTGAGAGGAGTGAGGCAGCGGCACACGGCACACGGCGGGTCTGCGGAGGTCTCCGGGCTCCTGGTTCGCTCCTTAACTGTGGACGTCCGACTGCGAATAGCACGCCGTTCCCTGCCAGGACTGACTCTGCCCTCCCTGAGCCGAGCCGCCCCTGTTCCTTCAGGAGCCCCTGCCCTCCCACGCTGTGCCCGACCCTCCCCGCCCCCCGTTGCACAGCCCACACCCCTCCGGGCGGCCACACTCAGGGCCACACGTGCGTCAGCGCTGCTCCCCACACACAGGCCCTCGCCCGGGGCCTTGGCACTCCCGGCGCCTCACCCGGATGCTCCCTAAAGTACCCGCGGGCTCGCCCCCCACTTCGCCCAGGTCCCGGATCATGAACGCCACCAGCGAACTGCCCAGGGAAGCCCGCACCCCGCCCATCCCGCTCCCTGTCCTGACGCCGCCTTTGCAGCCCTGACCGCCGTCTGACAGCACGCACGCTTGTGTATCAGTGTAGACGAGAGCCACGTGAGGGCAGGGACGGCTGCCGCTCTGCGCCTTGCCGGACCCCAGCACCTGGAACAGTGCCTGGCACGTGCCAGGACCTCAGTCAAGGCTTGGGGGAGGGTCAAAGGATGACTGGCGGACCGCGGCTGACACGTTCCCACGCGCGTGCCCGCACTCACGGGTTAACAAAGTGCTTCCTCGTCCCTCCGCTTCCCAGGAGAGCCCGGCAAGGCCGGCATGTCATGCCCATTTCACGGACGGGGACGCCGACGCTCAGAGGGGAAGGCCTCGCCCCCACCTCTCAGCTGGTGGGCGGCAGAGCCAGGGCCCACACCAGCCTTTCATGCCTGCCCAACGCTCCCCCAACCACAGTCCAGGATAGTCCACAGGACTCTCCCAGGGCCACAGCCACGCCGGTCAAGGCCCCACAAGCACCCGGGAACCAGAGAGAAGTTGCGGGACGCGGGACTCCCGTATTTAAAGGCAGCGACAGCGAGAACCGGTCCTTTGAACCAGCAGCAGGAGGTGTTGTGGGCGAGGAGAGATGAGGAGGGGGCTCGGCGGGCAGAGCAAGGGCAGCGGACGAGCCAGCAGGAGGCTCTAGCCGTGAGGCTCCTGGACAAGCCCCGCAGCTCCTCAGGGCCTCCGTTTCCCCATCTGGCACAGGAGACCCCCTCCCCGTCTCAGGAGGCTTCGGGAGGGGCCGATTTTAGGAACGGGTTCGGGCTGTGCAGGTCAGGGGGCTGCCTGCTGGCAGGAGGCCGGGAGCTCCGGGCTCACGCAGCACACGGGGAAGGCTCCGTTCTGCTCATAGGGCCCGCACACCAGGAGGCAGGCCGGGTGCCAAAGGCTCCCCACTGTGATGTGCCCGCACGGCCCTGGGGGGAGCTGCCCAGGACCGACCCGCCGTGACTCTCAGCAGAGCGCTGGCAGACGTGGGAGACTGAGACCCGGGGGGCTCTGCCCAGGGCCACTCAGCTAGGATGGGGCAAAGTGGGATGGACCTGAGCTTACCTATCCCGTCTCCAAGCCACCCCACTAACCCCGAGCCTTTCCTGAGCTTCATCAGATCACCTCCTCCTTCGAGGGGACCTGCAGGGAGCCTGTCTCTGCTCTGTCCCCAAGGGCGCGCCTGGGCATCACCGCTACTGCTGCCCCTCTCGCAGTGCGTCGCTATCACACGTTTTAACATTCATCACTGCAACGGAAACCTTATGGAGAAGCCACAACAGGAGTTACTGGGATGGCCCGGTTACAGAGGAGAGACCGAGGCCTGGGGAGGAGAGGGAAGTGGCCAACCTCACCCAGGAACAGGAAAGTAATCCGGGCCCCCAGCTGCCCTGGGGCTGGTGCCCAACACCTTCCCCCCGGCTGTGGACTAGACTGGTGTCCCTGCCTGAACCCCCCCTCCCCCATGTCCGTGCCCCTTGCTGAGAGCCAAGCCAGCCGCAGGCTCCCTAGGAAACCTCCAAATCGCTTGTCAACCAGCCCCCCTGGCGGGCTGAGCCCCTTACTTCTCCTCATAGGCCATGACCAGGCGGGGGTCTAGGATGTGCTCTTCTGGCTCCCACGTGCTGTACCTGGAAGAGAAACGAGAGGTCAGAGCTGCCCTGCTTCCCCCGGCATTCACAGAAGCCACAGCTGCTCCACCAGGGCCACTGTCTGCAGGCCCTCGCCCCTTCCTGGTCCAGGAGATTGTCACCTACACCTAGGAGCTGGCCCTGGCCAGCCAAGCTAGGTCAGGGGCCTCCTGAGGGATCCAGTGACACCGGAACTCCCCTCATTCTGTGCACAGATCACACCACCCTATAAATGCCTGCGTCCAACTCCCAATTAGACCCTATGTCCACCGTAGGAGCACAGGGTGCCTCCTGAAAGAGGGCAGGGCCTGGAAGTCCCATATTCCCTTCCTAGGAAAGGCGAGTGTCTGTGGTAAAGGGCAGGGGCTCTGAGCCAGATTGCCAGGGTTCAAATCCCAGCTCTGTCCTTGACAGCTGTAAGGCCTTGAAAAATTTTCCCTATGGTCCCTGTGCCTCGACTTCCCCATGTGCAAAGGACTCTGATGAAAAAAGCACTCATGTGTCTAGTGTTTAGGGCAGGGCCTGGCACACAGAAGTGCTATCTGCACCCTCTCCTCAAACCCCAGCCTCAGCACCGCCTCTCCTGCCAGGCTGAGGTGCCCCCTTCCTCTTAGGCATACATCTGTGCCCTCGAGGCCAGGTCTCAAGTGCCCTTGTACCCGGGCCTGGCACGCAGCAGGAATTTGGTAAATGTCTAATGACTGGTGCAGTGATCACAGGGCCAGGACCCCCTAGGATTTCCCCAGGGGATCTTGCACCACTCCCAGACCGGGGAGTACCCACCCCCTGCCGGGACAGACCTGGACCGAGACACCTCAGAACTTCCTGAGCTCAGCCATCCTTGTTCCACCTGCACTGTCACTTACTTAGTATCTGCCTTTAAGCAGGTCACCTTTTCACGTATGTGATTTTATTTTAAAAACAAACGGTATGACTTCCGTAATTGGGAAACCAGTATCACTCACTATAAACAGATGTTAGCGCATAAAAATTTAAAACATATATGTATGTGTGCATATATGCATGCATACAAATATACATGCAAACACACAATGACACCAATATGTATATGCGTACATGTGTGTACAGAAACAAAACCCAAGCGCTGGGCTGTGATTCCGGCTGAGGCGGCACCCAGCTCTGCTGGAGAAGGAGGGAGGTGAGCAGGTATCGGGGAGGTGCTGGGAGGCAGAAAGAGGCTGGGCATGGCCCCTGCCCCCATGGCCTCCAAACCTCCATCTTAAACTCTCCTGGGACTGTGAAACCTACAGCTGACCAACCTAGAGGAGAACAACAAGCTGCCCAAGGGCAGAGTCCCTTCTGCTTTCTCCACTGACACTGCTGCACAGCTACTTCCACCCGCCCCGTCGGGCTCCGTGACTCAGCCATGAAGGTCTATGCCCTGAGGACCTTGCAGCCCATACCCATGGGCAGCGCGCTCAGCCTGAGCAGGCAGTCACACCTCTTCCTTTGTACACACTGTGCTCTCCTCCTGGATGCCAGTCCCTCCAGAGGCCTCCTACGCATCCGTTAAGAGCCAGGTCCCTGCAGCTTTCCCTGAGATCCTCTCCCGGCTGTCCCACCCCCCCAGGACCAACCCTCCCCTGTGTGGCCTTACTGCTGCCCTGGACACCTGCCATAATTACTGATGAATGCAGCTGACGACCCCGTGGGCCAACTGTAACCCCTCCCCAGAGCACCCGGCCCCAGGTGCTCCCGCAATGGCTCTAGAAGCCACTGCAGTTTTGATAACCCTGAAGAAATGTGAAACTGAAACTGATTATACATTTTGGGGGATGGGGAGCCCAAACTATGAGCAACAGAGACTAGCAGAGACTCCAACCCCTCCTCTCGCCAAAACAAAGGTTGAGTTTCCTCAGCTGGAACTAGTTACAAGAAAGGGCAGTTTTGTGTTCCTGCTGTGGGCTGCTTCAACCTCTCTCCTCCTCTAGCTGTTGCTCTCTCTCCCTTGCTCCAGTCCTCTCTGCCCTGCCCACTGTCCCTTCGCCCCGCCCATTTTTTCTTGCTGTTGCTGCTGTGTGGTTCCTGGCAAGTCTCTAACCTCTGGACCTCAACTTCCTCACCTTAGAATCACTAGCACCACCAAAGGCAGTAACAGCAAGGAGTGAAGGCAGACTACAGCCAAGGACCCATCCATTCTTCCTAACACCCATATGAGGTACGTGACCCCATTTTACAGATGAAGACACTGAGGCCCAGAGGGTAAATCTTGCCAAGGCCATTGAGAAAGTGAGTGGGTAGTCTGTGGATGGAACTCAGCTGAATCTTGGCCACGCTCTCTACTTTTGGGTACCTCACATGTCACCGCATCTGACTCCCGACCGAGCTGGGATGTCCTTGGGAGAAGGACACTGCCTGATTTCTGACTGTCCAAGTCCTCAGTGTCTGACCTGGGGGCTCAGCGCACAGTGGGTGCAAGAAAAGGGTTGATGGATTCAGAGGGGGCTGTTACTGGCCTGGGGCATCCATCCGTGGGATCTGAGGCAATAGCACAGGGTGAGACTTGGGAGCAGGAGGCCCTGCTCCACGGTAGAGGGCAAGGGAACATGAATTGCACAAGTGTCTGTGGTATACCCTGGGCTCCCCTAAAATGGAAGCCACTAACGCTCCTCTGCAGAGTGGAGATCCAGAGGCCACAGTGGTGGCAAACGCGGTTCGGGAACGGTCGGCGCAAGGACGACAAGAGCTGCAGGCGGCACAGTCCACAACCTAGGCGCTGGCGGGCGGGTGGGCGGGGTGTGCAGGGGGAAAGTGTCCGTGCTGGGCGGGTACACAGCGCCCCTTGAGGGGCGGAGGGGTTACTTAACTCCGCCCCGCGCCTCTTTCCGCAGCCCGGGAGCCGCGCGCGCGCACGCAGGAGTGGCGCGTACACCGTATTACTAGGCCAACCAATGGGAGTTAGGGGCGGGGACGGCGCGTGCCCGCTGAGAGGTAAACACGGCCACGTGACCGCCAGCCCCGGCCCGGTCCGGGTAAACAGGCAACAGCGGTTGCTTGAGCCTGGTATGCGCAGGCTCCCGCCATGCTGGGGGCGGGGCGGGGCGGGGCGGGGCGGGGCGGGGCGGGGTGCTTCACAGAGGAAGGCCGCAGTTCCACCATCCCCCCCAATGTAATGCTGCTTAAAATGAGACAGGGCGCCGTGGGGGTCTAGGCAAGCCAGCAGGGGTGACTTTGAGCAAGTGATTCCGGCCACTGTTTATCCTTGCGTGAAACAGGGCTACCAACATAAGTCCCGATCTTTTAGGGTTGATGTGACTATTAGCTGTGTTAAGCCCTGGGAAGCACTTAACTTCAGTGTGGTACCTAATACCAGCAAATAAACGTTAACATTAATTAAATCAATTTCAAAAGCCTCGAGAGTGCAAAAGCCTGCCAGAACCGGAATCCTGGACTCGGCTGCTGCTGCCCAAACCCAGCCTTTTACAAAAGTGCCTCCTGTGCCGCTGGCACTGTTACAAACCTTGCGCAGTCCCGGGCAGCTGGAGGGCTCCGTGAGGCCAGTGCCTCATTTTACAAGTGGGGAGATGGAGGTGCAGAGAGGTTGAAGCCTCTGCCCTGGGTCACACAGTCAAATACATAGAACAGAGTTCAAAGGCAGCCTGGCATGGCTCCACAGCCTAGACACTCCCCACTGAACTGGCCATCAGGCCAACACACAGGATCCTCAGTCAGCTTTGCCACAGCCCACTGTGTATCAAAGGGGCTGGGCCCCAGGTCCTGGGGTCAGGCAGCCCCAAGTTCAAATCATTCCAGCTGTATGACCCTGGGCAAGGTCTCCTCTGCTGAGGGTTCTTCCTATCTGTAAAATGGGCTGCCGTGAGCCAACTAAACGAGCCAATGCCTGATCATACTAGGGCTTACTGATGATGCCCACTGATAATATCATTATGAGAGATACATGGAGACAGTCCTCCCTAGGAGAAACGATAGCATCCACTAGTGGGAAAGGTGCCTGTCCTGGGCAGACTGCAATGAGAGTGGGGTGTCTGAGAGTCCTTCTGGGGCTGAGAGCACCTGCAGCTGATGATTTAGCACCCCCTGCCCCATTACCCCAGCCCTTCTCTGTGGCCTCAGCACCTCTCTGGGCCATTTGCTATACCTTCCAGAACTAGCAAGATAGCTCCTCTGCCCCACCTGCTGGGGAGGAAGGGCAGTCATTTGTCTGCGAGCAAAGCACGTCAAGGCTTAACAGGGCCCTGTCACAGGGTGGGTATTCTGTTGTTTCTGCTGTTAATATAAGCTTCCCCAGCCAGGGTAACGAGGGGGCTGTGGAACAGCAGAATCTGATCTCTCTCCCCACTGAGGCTGGCGCTGCCCTAGCGAAGGCTCCCAGGCCTGCAGGCTGCAGCCTGCCCAACTATCCCCTCCCCACCACCTCTCTCAGCCTCTTTTCCAACCCAGGCCCCCAGACAAGGGGAGACTCAAGGCCAAAGAGGTTACAAAGCTCTCCTTCTTCTCCCTTAACTGAAGCTGTTTCCCCCCCAACTGAAGTGGGGTGATGCAGTGGATGGCAGGACACTACATGGGGTTCACAGTTATATTCTTATAATGACCTCCCCTCTCTGAGCCTCAGTTTGCCCACCTGAGGACTGATCTAAATGACTTGTAGACCATTGTGAGTTCCTGTGAGAAATGGAATCCTCAGTTCCCTGTCCTGGCTGGGGGTGGGGCAGGGGACCTAGAAGGTGGGCTGTCTAACTCTGTTGATAGCAAACACTCACTAAGTGCTTGGTCAGCTGGGAATGCACCACGCACTACCTAGCCATCATCTAATCCTCACAACAACGCTGTGACAGAGGCTTTACTATCCTAGTTCAGAGGTAAGGAAGGAAAGGTTCCACTATATTGGGGACCTGTCCAAGGGCTCAGAGCTGGACAGGAACCCAGAACCAAAGTGTGGGGGAGCCAGAGGTACATCTGGTCATCTGATCACACAGGGCTTCCAGAACCCCTTGGGGGGGGTCATAAAAGGTAGTCCTGAGGGCCCATCTGGTGGTCTCAGCGTTTTAAGAAACATGCAGGCTCCAGGGCCGGGGCTCAGGCCAGCAGAAACATGGAGGGACTGCCCTTGGAGCACGAGGTCCTTCCCTGCTGAGGGAAGCTCTGAGGGGCAGGCATATTCATTTGGGATTTATAAAAGTAGGAGAAGGAATTTTTAACTGATAAGTGCCTCTGTTTCAAGAAGGACATCTTTCAAAAGATGGAGGCTACAGAGGAGGAAAAATAGCCCACAGTGCCTTGAAAGCCACTAGGCTGGGACCCCACTCCGATGCAATGCCCCTGGTGCAGAAGCTAGGGGGAGCGAGTGCTCCGGCAGCCGCCGCTCCTGCTGCTCCTGCTGCCAGTTCGGGCATCCCTTTCCCAGCTCTCCCATGCTCTTCCTGCCCCTACACCCAGGCCGGAAGTCCACTTCCCATCTGCCCAGTGGAGGAGGAGACACTCCTTCAGCTGCAGGGTGTTGGAGCAGGGGCAGAGGAAGGGACAAGCGCATTGCCTGGTTGGCCAGCCACCAACCGCAGTCATCAGGTCAACCTGCAGGTCACCCTGAACACGCACCCAAGCCTTTCATCACACAAGGTGAAGAGGCCTGTGAAGGGAGCAGGGCCTGGACTGTTGAACCCATTTTGCAGAGGCGGAAGGTGAGGCAGTATGGACCATGGTCCTCACGACTGTATTGCCCCAAGATGCTCCCAGGACCCAACACCAGGTAGCCCCCCCACCCCGCCCCCCTGCCCAGCATAGCAGAAAGCCAGTGGCACAGACAGCAGAGGTCCTGGGTGGAGAGGGTTCCAGTAGTCAGTCTCTGGGAGGCAGGGCAGGGAGGTGGGGCACCCACAGGCCAATGGGTAGGTCCCACAACTTGCTCATTCCCCACCCCTCAACTACGCCCTGCTGGGAGGTGATTGGTTGGTGTGAAGGTTCCTGATTGGGCCTCAACAAGAGAGATGGAGAGACTGGGAGAGGTCCTAGACCCAACTCCCTGCCCCCCAACTTTGAGGTGGAGGAGGCTCAGAGGAGATACCTGAAAATGGGGAGGCGTAGTTCAACTCTGTCCCCACTTGCTGTGTGACTTAAAGCAAACTGCTTACCTTCTCTGAGCCTGTTTCTATATCTTTAAAGATTACTACCAGCCCCCCACCCCCACTCCAGCCTCACAAGGCTATGTGGGAACCTGCTCTGTAGACTGGGAAGTACTGCCCAAAGGCAAGGTGGGCTCAGGCTCTGTCCCCGGTTCTACAGCATTGAGGACTCATGCCCCACTGCCTGGCCTTGTCTTAACCTGTCTCACAAACCTCTGCCCAGCACTGTACTTGCTATGGCTTGGGGGTCCCTCCACCTGGCCAGCAGGCACCTCTGAACCCCAGGTGCTGGGCCTTCACCTCCTGGTGCCAGAAAAAGCCGGAAGGAGTGGGAGAGGTGACTCCAGCCAGAAGATGGCGCTTAACTGGAGGGGAGCAGGTGAGAAGGGAAGCTGGGGCCCACCTTGACCCTCACGCTGCTCTAAGCCCCTCGGCTGGCAGAGGGGCAATTGAAAGTGAAACAAAGCGATTTAATCAAAGCCCGCTGGCCAATTACTAGAGCAGCTGGAGCTAAAAGCTAGGCAGGAGAGGCGGCAAAACGTGGAAGGGAGGACACACAGGCAAGCAGACACACACACACAAGACCTTACTTTGGGGGCCATCCTTTCCACTTCACCAGATATTCGACTTTGCCCTGGGAAGAAAGAGAAACAGACAGTGAGATATACAGCTGCCCTGAAGACCCGTCGCAGGACAGTAAGACCTAATCCCCTTCTCTGCAGACGGACATCCAACATGTACACACAGACCAGAGAAACCCCCCACCAGATCCGCACGAACCCTACCGACTAGAGCACAGAAGTGCATCTGGCCCCAAACACCTCCCAGGCGCCTGTGGCAGAAGCTCGAAGCTCCTGTCACACGTGGGAAAACGGACCACATGGCAGGGAAGGGGTTGTCAGCAAAGACTCAGTGTCTAGAGTCCGAGTGCTAAGACTGTGTCTTTCCATTCTAGATCAGAAGACTCTCCAAATCATAGGAAATTCTTCAGCTGTAACCCTTCGTAGGAGAGGCTGCCTCTGGCCCAGAGATGACAGGACAGTGACTTTAGGACTCTCAACTCAAAAGGTCCTGGCAGGACCCTGGAGAAGGCTGGCAGTTCTTCACCTACAGAAATGATGTTCACCCCTCCAGCGGTTAGAAAATACAGCCAGGCCCCCCCGTTCCTCACAGCTGACAGAGACCTTTACAAGTTTCCAGTCCAACCTCATCCACTGGGCGAGACCCCTCCACACCGGAACTTTGAGGCCAAGGTGTCACCTCTTCAAAGAGGCGCGTCCTGGCCACCCTATCTAACGCCATCCCTCCCGCTCACAGTTTTTCTGAGTAGCACAAGCCCGGCTGGAAGGTATCTGTTCCTATCTCCCCGTGCGCTGCCGCGTGTCCCCTCTGCCAGGACGCCAGCTCTGGGAGGAGTGGGGGGCATTCCTCCCTAGGGCTTAGAGTGGTGCCTGGGACATAACAGATCCTCAGTCACTTTATTTTGAATGAATGACTGAAAGAACGATGCTTCTTACTCTCTGGCACTACTCCCCAGGCCGCGTGCAGAAGCAGGGAATCACTGTACCTGCCTGGGCTACACTTCATGAAAAGCCCCGGGCTCTGTGGAATAAATTAAAATCCAGGAAACTCTAGAGGATGGGAGAAGGTGGGGGGCAGGACCAACCTGAGAGAGAGCTCAACCCCATCAGGGTTGGGGGGAGGGGAGAGCTCATGGCCCACCTTGACCTGGAGCCTTGGCCCAAGATGCCAGGACTGACTTTTCTCTCTCCAGAAAAGATGAGCTGGCAATCAGCCAACTTGAGCTCCGTGCTCTACCTCCATCTTTAACTTGTCCTATGACTTTGACAAGTTCCCTTGCCCTGCCGGGGGCCTCAGTCTCTGCCTCCGTCAAATGGGAGGCAGTGGCTTCTAAGACCCCTCCCAGCCCTGCCGCTGGAGCCTCCCAACGGGCCGCGGAGAGGAGACAGGGAAAAGGATGGTGGCGAGTGCCGGGTGAGGAACTTTCCTCAACGACTGTCACCCCCAACCTCCAGTCTGCGGTGAGCCCACTCTGCAAACTTGTGCACAGGAAGTGTGGACGGCAAAGTCCAGCCCAGAGGCGGGGACCCGCGCCCAGCAGAACCCTCCTTAATTGCAGGATGTTTGTTTTGGAGGTGAAGGGGGAGGAGCCTCGAGGAAGCCAAGGCGCTGTAGGCGGCTTCACGGAGCCCTGCCGGGCGGGGCTGAAAGTTGGGGTGGGGAAAATAGAGGGGTGTGCGCTTGGAGGAAAATGAGAAAGATGGAGGTGTGGGTGCAGAGAGGATCGGAAAAGGTCCAAGTCCAGCAGTTAGACTTCAGAGGCTGGAAGCTATTCCGAAGCCCCGCCTCCAATTTCAAAGGTCTTGGTACCAAGAGTCCAGAGTCCTGTGTTCGAGACCCAGTTCAGACACCAACGCACTAAGCACGCCGTTTCCTCAACTTGGGCCTCAGTCCCCCCACATTAAGAATGGGGGCGGTGAGAGGCAGGATGGCGTTCAGGATCCCCACAGTCCGATCCTAAGCTCAGCGGACGCCAGCATCCCGGGGCGACAACTTTTATTCTACTTGCCCTACAAGGTGCTGGGGGAAACTGAGGCATGGGGTGGGGAGACGAACCCAGAAGCGCGGGGCTGCCTGGGCCGCCCGCCCCACATTCGCCCTCATCCCCAGCGTGGAGGGGACGTTGTTGGGAACACGAGGGGACCCCACTGGGGTCCTGGGAGCCGCCCCCCGGCAGCCTCACCTTCCGCACGCGCTTCTTCCGGATGCTCTCCACAGCGAACACCTGCTCGCCGATGGCTGACAGCTCCATGGGGGGCGGTGGACGAGCGGGCCCGGGGCCGGGCCAGGCCGGGGGCGGAGCTGCGGGGCCGCGGTTGCGGCGCGCGATGCTCGGGCCGGCCGGGACCCCGTCACCCTCGCCCGGGCGCGCACGCGCACGCGCACGCGCGCACACCCCCTCGCGCTCCCTCACGCCGCCGACGTTCCATTTATGAACCTGCGCAACGTTTTCCTCAGCGCGAGCCTGCGAGCGAGAGCGCGGGGAGTGGGCGGAGCGGGGTTCGGCTCGTGCCCGGCAGGTCCCACCCCTTCGTATCCGCCGGCCCCGCCCCGCCGGAGCCCCGCCCCGCCCGGGAGGCCAGGGACGCGCGCAGCTCACCCGAGCTGCCAGTGCGCCTCTCGGCTCCCGGGCTGCACGAGATCCCAACACCTACACGCATTTCCTAAAATTCTCCCGGTGACTCTGATGGGCCGAAAATGGCATGGCCTGGGTTGGGCAGATAAGGAAACGGACAGAATGAGAAGGCCATCTGCCTTACCTCCCACAAAGAAGCTGGCGGGGGCGCGGCGCAGACCCTTGTGAGCAGGAGGGCGGAGACGACCCAGATTCTCCAACCTGTCGCGACGTCGCAGCACCGCGGTCTCCCTAGACCGGGTTCCGGAGGGCCGCAGTTTAGCCGAAACTGAGCAGACCCCTCCACGTCCATCGTTCCATTCATCCCTCGTCGGTAGGAAGGCGGCTGTGCAGACGCTCCCGGGTCAGACGCGGATCCTTCCTCCAGGGCCCCCGGCTAGGCAATAATTCGCGACCAGTGTGGCCTCGGCGCATGAAAGGTGTACACGGAAATGGATCTTTGCTGTCCCGCCGACCCAAGCCCCCCACGCTGGGCACTCAGCACATAGTAGGTGTTCAACCCTTTGTGGAATGAGTGGATCTTAAGGTCCGGGACGAACTCGTTATAATCCCCAACCCCGAACCATGCCTTGTGTACGCGCTCGGCTCCTGCGTTCGTCCTCGCCAGGAATCCGGAATCTTCCGCGTCCCTACGGCTCCCACCGCCTACCGCAATTGATCCCGGGTCCTGTCTCTCTACCTCCTCCAGTCCACTCCCTTGGCCCTTGTCCTGTCTCTGGACTCCAGCAACAACCTTCTCTCGGAGCCGCTAGCCCCTCCGAGCCCGTATCCACACAATGTCAGAGCGCGCTCTCTCAAAGGCAGGTCTGTCTGACGGCCACCCTAATGCATAAGAACCTTTCATAACTCCCTATTCCCCTCAGAACGAAATCCAAAGTCTTCTGTCTGACACACAAAAAAAGCAGTGACAAATTTATACTTGAGTTTTTATTAGGAGCAACGGAAGCTAGAGAGCAGAGGATACATATATATCTCCAATGTCCTGAGAGAAGATAAACATAATCTTAGAATTATACACCCAGCGAAAATTTCTTTCAGAAACTAAGTACCCAATGAAAATATCTTGCCAGAACGAAGTGAAATAATAACATTTACAAATACAAAAACTAAGGCTTTATCACTAGCAAATCCTGCCTAAAGGAAATTCCAACGGAGGTACTTCAGGCAGGAGGAAAACAATCACAGACAGAAATCTAATGCAATGGAGAATAAAGAACAATGAAGAACATTGATAATACAAAACAATAACCATTCTTCTGGGGGCGGGGATGGAGCTAAAATACACAAGGACAATGGCATATAACTTGGGTGGAGTTAGTGTTCTAAGATCTTCATATTCTTCAGGAGGAAAGTGAAGATCGATACCAAATACACTCAACTTTGATGAATTAATCCATTGCCAGGGTAAACATTAAAAGAATGGAAGTGAAGTGTATAATATTTATCCAAATTACTAGAGGGAGAATATAGAATGAGAAAACGCAAGCAATCCTAAAGTGAGCAAGGACAGAGAGAAAAATAAATACAAGATAGGTGGGACAAATAGATTACATATATAAATTCAAGTACTCTATAATTCAATAAATGCAACCAACTGGACTAAATGTTGTACTTAAAATACAAAGTTTCTCATACTGGATAAAATCCAACTGCGTGCAATTTACAAGACATATCCACAAGAGACACTTCAAAAACTAAGGATAATAAAAGAGTGGCAGTAAATGTATGGGGAGAATACAGCATTCAAAAGCTAAAGAACAGAAGGCTAGTGCAGTTATTTTAATGTCAGGGAACAGTAACAACAACAAAAATCACTAGAGATAAAGGAGATCACTTCATAATGAAAATGGTCCGATTCACCAGAAAGGACAATTTCAAATTTCCCCGGAAATACATAGTCTTAAAATATAGGAAACACAAGGAAGAGAGCTACACAGAAAAACAGACAAATCCACAATTATAGCAAGAGATTTTAAAACACTTCCCTTGGTAGAACAAGCAGACATATATTCAATAAGGATAGGGTTAAGAAACTTGTCTAATGGACTTTTATAGAACACCGTGACTTCAATTGTAGAATACTGTCCTCAAGATATATGAGATATTTACAAGAAAAGTAAGTCTCAAGAAAGTTTAAGTCTAAAATCAGATAGAGTATAATTTTTTACCATAACACAAATAAACCAGAGACCAATAACAAAAAGATAACTTCGAAGACCCCATATGTTTGGAAATTAAGAAATACATTTTAAAATAACAGGTGAATCAAAAAAGAAATAACGAAAATTATAAGACTTTTAACTGAAAGTGAATATATTACATTTTAAAATAATGTGGGATACTACATTATGACTACAGCATGACTTAGAAGTTTATGACTTATAATGTTTATACTAGAAGAGATAAAAGGCTGAAAGTAATAAGTAAGCACCCACCTCAAGAAGCTAAAGAAAACAAAAGGAAGTCAGAGTAAAGGTAAGTGCAGAAAATAATGAAACAGGGTCAGCAAAAACAAAAACTATTTCAACAAAAAGACTAGTAGTTTTGACAACCCGCTGATGAGACTGATCAAGAAAAAAAAAAGAAGGCACAATTAACCAATATTCAGCATGAAAAGCTAGAGAGGCTGCAGACATTGAGGAAAAAGAAAATATAGACAGCAGTATGAATAACTATTACAATAGCTTTAAAAAACTTAATGAAATGGGCAAATTCTGAGAAAAACATAACTTACCAAAACTGACAGGAGAAAACCTGAATGAGCATCATTCCTGGTCAAGGGACCAAAATATCCAACAACTGGACACTGAGCATTCGTAGCAGGCCAGCCTAGCACCCTTAGCACCCTTAACACTGAGCAGAGCCCAGGAGGCTTGGGGCTATGCCAGGCACTAACTCTTTGATCTACTGGGCACAGGAAGGTGTGAGGATCTGGGGCAGCCATGGAGGCAATATTGCACCGAAGGGTTGGGAGTGGTGCTATGTACCAGCTGGTACGAAGCTCGTTTGGTACTTTAGCAACCTCAAGTCCCAGGGCATCAGCCAAACATCAGACTTTCCCATAACCGTTAAAGGAATCGAATCAATCATTAGTTTCCACAAAGAAAACACAAGCCCAGGGGTATTTAAAGAAGAAATAATTCCAGTCTTACTTCAACTTTTCCACCTCATAGGAAAAGAAGCAATACTTCCACCTCATAGGAAAAGAAGCAATACTTCCCAATTAACCGTTAAAGCAATCGAATCAATCATTAGTTTCCACAAAGAAAACACAAGCCCAGGGGTATTTAAAGAAGAAATAATTCCAGTCTTACTTCAACTTTTCCACCTCATAGGAAAAGAAGCAATACTTCACCTCATAGGAAAAGAAGCAATTCTCTTTATGACAAGTACAGCACAAAAAAGAAAATTATAGGCCAATGTCACTCATGCATATAGATTTTTTAAAATCCTAAACAAAACATTAGCAAACAAAAACTGGCAGTATATAAAAATAGTAATACATCATGACAAAATCAGGTCTTGTCCAGCAATGCAAGGTGGACTCAACGTTTGAGAATCAGTCATTTCACCACATTGGAAGTTAAAGGAGAAAAACTCATGATCATTTATTTCCAGAGATGCAGGAAAAGTTCAAACATCAGTTTATGCTTAGAACGTGTAGCAAACTAGAAATCGAACGGCATGTCTTTATTACAGTAAAGGTGTCTACACGGACCAACCGCAAATTTGCTAATGAATGGTAAAACGTGAAAAGCATTTCCCTTCGGGCCGGTAACAGGCAAGGAGGACAGGGCAATCCCCATTCCCATTAAGTATTGCACTGGGTGTCCCAGACCTGCGCTGCCCAGGATGGTAGCTACTCGCTGCCTGTCACTGCTGAGAACTTGGAATGTGACTAGTCCAAATTGACTTATGAGAGTAAAATTAAATACACATTGGATTTTAAAGACTTAGTACAAATAAAAAACACCATAAAATGTCTCACTAATAATTTCATATTGATTATATATTGAAACAATATAAAATATATTCTAAAAATTAATTTCACCTGCTTAGTTTTTTAAAGACTTTATTTATTTTATTTTTAGAGGGAGAGGAAGGGAAGGAGAAAGAGAGGGAGAGAAACATCAATGTGTGGTTACCTCTCATGCACTGCCTATTGGCGACCTGGCCCACAACCCAGGCATGTGTCCTGACTGGGAATTGAGCCAGAGACCTTTCGGTTTGCAGGCCAGCACTCAATCCACTGAGCCACACCAGCCAGGGCTCACCTCCTTGTTTTTAATGCAGCTATAAGAAATTCTCAAATTATACATGTGGCCTGCATACAGGACTCATTTTGGATTTCTATTGGACAGTGCTGTGCTAGACAGTAAGAAAACAAAATAAAACAAAGGTTAAAAGATTACAAATAAACAAAACTGTCACTGTTTTCAGATTTATATAGAAATCCAGCCCTGACTGGTGTGGCTCAGTTGGTTGGGGGGGGTCACACCACAAAGTGAAGGGCCGCCAGTTTGAATCCCGGTCAGGGCACGTGCCTGGGATGCAGTTCTGGTTCTCCATCAGTCACATACGAGAGGTAACTCATCAATGTTCCTCGCTCATCGATGTTTCTCTCCCTCTCCTTCTCCTTGCCCCTCCCTCTCTCTAAAAATAAATTTAAAAAATATTTTTTAAAAAGGAAAAACAAAATCCAAAATAACCCTTGGATTATTTCTTAATTAGTCCATTTAAAATATCAATATACAGAAATCTGTTATTTTGTATTCCTCTATGCCAGCAATAAACAAAAAGAAAATGAAGTAAAATAAGATATCATTTATAATACGATAAAAATATG